TAAAAAGTTTTTATTTCGATCTAATAAGAATTTATTTCGTTTAAATAATTTTATTTAGTTGAATCAAATAAATCTTAATTGGATTAATTAAATAAATACTTGACTCTAATAAATAAATTTATTTAACACAAATCATTTCTAAATTTTATATTTTTTCATGGATTGCTTCTAAACTTTCTATAGTTGAGTATTACATGTTATTTAGTCACATTTTAGCATAATTTTTCAAAAATACTTTCTTATAACGAAGATGTAAGTATAAAAATGTTTTGAATATCAAAAAATTAAAAAAATTATAATTGATACCAATTGCTATGAAGCTTAATTCAGTAGTATTTGTGGGCTCTCTGATTTAACTTTTAGAGATATCTTGATCAATGTAAAGACAAAAGTTAAACACGGTGTTTATTTTGGTTTAAAACAATTTCCGGCTTTGTCCAAATTTTTCCTGGTTTACTGGACGGGTTTTTTTTAATAATACATTTAACAGGGTGTTTACCAACCAGAAAAGACGTAAAATATCAGGGAATTTAATGTAACCGAGAAAAACTGGATCTACTTGCTATACAATTAGTTCGAATTAGACTGTACTATAACTCAAAAAACTGGAGGAAATTTTAGATTTATTTTAATACATTATATTGATTGAAGTACTACAAATTGAGAAATATTGTTTTCTGCATTTGAATTAGTTAAAAATAACTAATTTGATAATAAAAAGTCGGTCACTGTTTCAAATGGTATTATTTTCCTAATGAAATAGACAATAGTAACTAATTATTATTTTTTCCCTGTCAAATCAAATTCCCGGCTATTTTCCGGTTTTCTAGGTTGGTAGATACACTGTTAAGTGCATTATCAGAAACTACAACCCGTCGAAGACGGGTACGACAGCTAGTTATAATTATAATTAGGCGTAAATGTCATTTAAATGTTCAGGAAATTTTCACACTGAACATTTATTTAATCGGGACATTTAAATCTTTACACAACTTTCAATAAACATTGCAATTAAATATTCCGAATATTGCAAGTAAATATTTAATAAATTTTTAGGAAAGTTTCGGTGCTGTGGGGGAATTTTTTAATGAATTGCTTTTAAACTCTCTATAATTGAGTATTACATGTTATTTTGTCACATTTTAGCATAATGTTGAACAAAAAATCCTATGACTAAGATGTAAGTGTAAAAATATTTTCGACATCAAAAAATCGAAAAAATTATAATTGTTATTAATTACTACTATCAAGCTTAAGTCAGTAGTATTTTTGGGGATGTTTTATAATAAATATTTTATGAAAAAAATGATATCGCAGGATGTCAAGAATATTGTAAGTCACCTGTGATACGATATTATCATTATGCTACTGGGTAAATGCTTAGGTGGTAAAAAGTTACATTATTTACTTTTAGATTTAACTTTTAAAAATGTTTTGAGCAATGTAAAGACAAAAGTTAAGCCGGGTGTCTATGTTTGTTTAACAAAATTCCCGACTTTATCCAAAATTTATTCCCGGTTTATTTTTTTAATCAAATTTAAATTTACTTGATTTTAAGTTTTAACCATAAATAAATCTGCAGATGGCTAAAAAATTGACTTATTTTATGAAAATACTCTTTTTTAAGTTCATATGTTATATACCAGTGCCAGTCTTTGACGGGTTTTAGTTTCTACATTTGACAGAGTGTCTACCAATTGCGTGGGGAAACCGAGAAATAGCTGAGAATTTAATTTGACCAGGAAAAATCGGTAATTTTCTTACCAAATTAAAAAAGTTTTATTATATTAATTTTTTTTAAAAATTGCTTTTTACTTTAATTTTTGTTGATATAATATTTATATAAACAGACCCGAGTCAAAGTTTAAGCTCTACTTTCAGCCTAAACATATAGGTTTTATTTAGGTTTTAGCTGTCGTAACGTAGGGTCTAATTGCGACACAATTATTTCGAATTAGACTCTACTATAACTCCAAAAGCTGGTGGAAAATGAGAATTAATTTTTAATTCATTAATTGCAGTACTAAAAACGCATAAAGTACTACAAGTTGACAAATTCTGTTCCTGAATAACAAATTTGATAGAAAAAAATCTGTCACTGATTCAAATAGTAATATTTTTCTAACGAAATAGTTAATAGTAACTAATTATTAATTTTTAACAGTAAAATTTAGTTCCCGGCTATTTCCCGGTTATTGTAGATACCCTTTCAGATGTATTAGCAGAAACTAAGACGGGTCCGATAGCTAGTAATATATATATATATACACGGAGAGAAGGGCGTAGTAGATTCTACTGACATGGCAGTTAAATCTACTAAACAGAATCGTTAGGTTTGGACTGACGGTACAGACAGTGCCATCTACTGCACTGTTTAGTAAGATAGTAAGATACACTGAGCAAACAGTATATTCTACTAAACAGAGAGGTGTCGTAGTGTATTATACTAAACATACAGTTGGCGCCACTAACCGGTGCACTAAATGATTTACTAAACGCGTTCTGTCACATTTACTGCAACTCTTCTCTCCGTGTATATATAAATAATCCCTACTGGAAGTAAAAATATAGAAAGAGATAGAATTTTGGGGATAGAAAGAGATAAAGTTTTTTCTATCCCTTTGAAATAGCCACTTTGCATACCCGAAATATTATACCTTTTTATCTCCAAATTATTATCTCTTTTTATACCCTATTATCCCCTATCTATCTCTTTTTATACCTACGTACTTTTATCTCTTTTTATTTCTCTTTGCTGCAAATTTTTATCCTTTTTAATATATAAAGAATTAATTAACCAATATTATTAACAATATTAAAGACTTTATGAAGTATTACAATTTCAATTGAATTTATTATTTAAAAAAAATATTTTTAGAGTTTTCGTACTTCTATTTATTACCTATTTTTAACAAATGAAGTTATTTATTTATTTGTTATGAAATTATTATTTATTGTTTAAATCTATATTTCATTTCACATTATTGACCAACATTATATACATAACACTTAAAACCAAATTTGAAAAATCTCGCACGCAGGAGGGCTCGAACCCTGAAACTTAGGGACGCAAGTCGAATACACATGTCACTCAGCCACGCTAGCTTGGAAGATATTTTTCTTGAACTACCTTTTAAATTTTTGAACTGTATTGATCTCTTTTTATCTCTTACTCTATCACTCTTTATCTCTCAGTTGATCTCCTTTTTAAAGTTTTAATTTCTCTTTATTTATCACGAAATCGTCACATTGAAAAGGGTATAAAAAGTTATCTTTGGGGATTGAAAAAGGATTCAATGGGATATAATGAAGGTTATTGAAAAAGATTAAGAAAAAAGAAAAAATCGAATTTTTTTAAATTTAATAGAAAAGAGGTAGACTCTGATAGAACCGAAGTAATAAAAGGAGACAAGTATGGACTGAGATTTAAATAGGGATAGAAAGGGAAAGAAGTGAATAGTAAGAGGATAAAAGGCGATAAAGTAAGAGTTATTAAAAGAGATTGAATAAAAAGGGAATATAGAAATAGACTGAGGGGAATAAAAAAGGGATAGCCTGGGATAGAAACAAGATTATTAAAAGAGATAAGTATATTCTTAGATGAAGTTAGAGATAGAAACATATAGGTGTGGATATTGAAAGTATTAAAAGAGATCAAATAAAGGTTATTGAAAAAGATTTATACACAAGGAGAGATAAAAAGTGATTGAAGTGATAAAGTGGGGATAGACTAAGATAGAGAAACTTTATCTCTTTCTATCTCAAAGATAAAAAAATATTCAAAGAGATAGGATTTCTATCCCTTTACTTCCAGCAGGGATGTGAATACTTACCTTGATTGTTGTTTTTCAATATCAGGATTAAAAATAGAGGGATAATTGTTATAATACTTAACAGTTAGTGTAATGAACTGCTAAATTGATTCATGCATATTATTTAATAAGGGTATGTCCAAGTTGTGAAATGTAAACAAACCAAAAGGTAAACAAACCCAACACAAAAATCGCACTTTTGTAACAGCCATTTCTTCGACAAAAATTAACATTCTTACACTTTCTCTACAAAAATGGAAAATTAGAGTATTAAAGTTTCCAATGAAATCATTTTTGACTATGAGCAATAAAAAGCAATTAGTAAAATAACTAATTAAAATGACCTGTAAAATGGCATTTTTTACGCGTCGCGAAAATAAAACTGTTTGACTATATCAACCGCACGGATGATGAAGAAGTCTTATGTCAGCGATTGGATCTTCAACATGTGGAAAGGAAAATTTTTCCCTTTCCTCCTTGAAATTACAAGAGAAAGGGTAAAAACTTCTTCATCGTCCGTGCGGTTGATATACTCAAGCAGTTTATTTTTCGCGACGCGTCAAAAATGCCATTTTACAGGTCATTTTAATTAGTTACTTTACTAATTGCTTTTTATTGCTCATAGTCAAAAACAATTTTATTGGAATCTTTGATACTCTAATTTTCCATTTTTGTAGAGAAAGTGTAAAAATGTTAATTTTTGTAAGAGAAATGGCTGTTACAAAAGTGCGATTTTTGTGTTGGGTTTGTTTACCTTTTGGATTGTTTACATTTTACACCTTGGACTTACCCTTAAAGCTGGAATAATCGAAGCCGAATTGAAGCTGTGAGTTTTATGGCAAAAACAGCTATACGCGAGGCACACGTTCAAGCTATGATCGATAAAGCAATAAAAAATTTGTTTAATGGTTGAAATGTTCTGGTGCAAGCACAATGGATATTATAAATCATAAACTCATAAAAAAAGTGTATTTGAAGACTTCGATTTTCTGACTTTTGACCAGCTAGATTCGGCTCTCAGACTTCTGTGCGGCACTTAGTTAAAAGCATAAGTAGTAAAAACCTTTACGAAAACCATAATTTCTACTGTCGGTAATACAGAAATCTAACTAGAATGTTTTGTCATCAATTAGGAAAATAGCACTAGAAGCTATTAGCAGCTAACTATCTTTCTCCGTGTAGAATTACCTGTAGATTTAAAACTTTATCGCTCCAGCGTGTGGTTTTATTTTCGGAATAATCGCCATCATTCATTGCCTGCATAACCGCACGTGTTTTACCCATTGAAACTGGATTTACTGCCTCAAGATGTGATGGATTTGGTAGTAAACTAACGTGAAGACTTTTTCCGGTTGTATTAAAGTCTACGGACGATATAAAATGACTAATCACATCGCCAGTCGCTTTTGCCTCATTTGGGAATTCTGATATGCCCCTTAATTTTCGGAATAGCTTCTCCGGCGGAAAATTCATCATTCCCGTGAGTAAATTTAAACGTCCACGATGTGGCATACATAAAATTAAATGTTCCAGTTCTGTATTGGAAAAAGATTTTTTTTCACTTTTCTTTTTTTGTTTTGAAAAATTGAAATTTTTTCAAACAATATTTTACCATTTGAAGAGAGTTGAAATAGTTCCCGAAGAAATGACATCATTGTTTCGGCTCCCTCTCCACCGTAACGTTTTACCGTGACAAATTTGACGGCGAGAAAATTGTCGAAAGCCTGGCTTTTGAGCACGTCTTTTGCAATGACCCGACGAGTTTCCTCGCTCAGTGCTTCCTGGTAGAATTTTTCGTAGTTCTCCGCAAACCATTCTCTCTCTTCTTCGCTCTAATGTCAAAATAAAATTTTATAAAATTTAATTTAAAACTTATTATTTATTACTTATATTACTTTGGGGTTTTTGGAGCCGAAAAAATGGAATATGACGTTAGATTCAAAAAATTCAAAATGGCGAATCCAATATGGCGACTGATATTTTGAAAATTAATCAAAGTTAAAACCTTTAGATTTTTGAGGTCGCTGATTCCAAACTTAAGGGCAGATTTAATAAATTAAAAATGGCGGATCCATTATGGCAATCAAAAATCTTAAAGGCGGCTGGATTCAGTTAAAACTTGTTACCCTAGGGTTTTTGAGGTCGTTTTTTCTAAAATGTTATCAAAAATTTTAAAAGTGGTTCAATTTAGTTAAAACTTACTACCCTAAGATTTTTAAGGTTGCTAAAATCAATATGATATTATAGATTTAAAAAATTCAAAATGTCGAATCCAATATGGCGACTAAAAATCTTAAATTTGACTCAATTTAATTGAAACATGGTATCCTAGGATTTTTTAGGTTGCTCATTACAAATTTAATATCGAATTTTCAAAATTCAAAATGGTGGATTCAATATGGCGACTAAAAATTATAAATGTTGCTCAATTTAATTAAAACTTGGTACTCTAGGAATTTTGATGTTGCTCATTACAAATTTAATTTTTTTCAAAATTCAAAATGGCGGATATAATAGGGCGACTTAATTTTAAAAAGAAGTCAACGAATTCGCATGAAACTTGTTACTCGGGGTTTTTTTGGGTCGCTGATTGCGAATTTGATGTCAGATTTTGAAAATTCAAAATGTCGGATCCAATATGGCGACTAAAATTTAAATTTTGATTAATTTTATTAAAACTTGGTACCCCGAGGTTTTTGAGGTTCCTAATTACGAATTTAATATCAGATTTTCAAAAAATTTTCAAAAAATTCAAAATGGCGGACCTAATATGGCGACTGAATTTTGAAAAACTCAACGAATCCGTTTGAATCATGTTACCTTGGGGTTTTTGAGGTTGCTGATTACGAGTATAATATATATAATAATATATATGTAATAATATATAATAATAATAATAATAATAATAATAATATATAATAATATGATATATATAATATATACTTTCAAAATTCAAAATGGCGGATTTCTAGTGATATGCTAAATTCAAATCTAATCAATTCACATAATTTATTAATTAAACTTAATTTTGTGCTTTAAAGATAAATTTTGTACCTCTAAATGAATAAATTCAACGCCAATATTTCCACAATAAATATTTCTCAATGTTTCAATGGCCTCAGCAATTGTAACATCAGATTTATTTGTAATTATTAAATTTTCAAGTGAAACTCTATCCGTTAAAGTAAGTCCATAACTCTCTGGATTTAATTCAGGCAATGATTCTTGTTTTGTGACGAATGAAACCGGATCTATATTCGCTTCTTTATGGGCGTGTTCACGAAATGCTGTCACAAGTCGAAAAAAATTACTGTTCCTCGCTCTCGTCTCCAATTTCTCCTTGGGCACTGTTCGCAGATAAATAAAATTAAATAATTTCGTTAATTTTTAATCGTTAAAAAAATTTTGGAACCAAATGTCAAGGAAAAAAGTAGAAAAAATGGAAATATTGTAATAAATAAAATGGATGAATGAATAAATGTTATTAATTAATAAATATTAACTAAATAATATTAAAAAATATTAACTAATAAATATCAATAAATATTAACTAGTAAGTAATCATAAATGTTAATTAATTATATAATTAATATTATTGATTAGTAAATATGAATTAGTAAATATTATTCAGTTTACAACTAGTAATATAATTTATCTTTTTTTTTATTTTTATTTGTCTTTATAATCTGTCCTTATAATTTGTTAGGAAACTATTATGTACTTAAGTTATTTCTCATTAAATAAATAATGAAACAAGAAGTTAATTGACAAAAGCAGTTATAGTAAATAGTTTAACATCCAATTATGTGTTAAATAACTTACCTTGATAATGATTTCGTTCTTTGGGTCGATGACCATAAACTCCAGTGCCACTGTTATAATATCTTTTGAAGTTTTTCCCATCAAACAAGTTTTTCCACCGAATTGTGCTAACAGTTTTATACATGGCTGCAAGAAACTTTGATCCCCCTTGTCTCTGACTTAAAAAAAGTTCTCACTCCATTCTCTCGGTAGTTTTTTTCGTATTTTTGTTCCTTTTTCTTTTATATCAAAACACGAGCCTCTCGTCGAGTCTTATCTGTTTGCTTATGAAATATGGCTGAACGATATCTTTAATTTTCATGTTGCGTTACGAGAGAAAAAAGTGGGAGGAAGAGAAAGATATATTTTTCGCTATATTTCTTCAATTTGGTCATTTTTATTTTTGTGGGCAGAAAAACAAAGTGTAAACAAATTTTTTACTATAAAAGAAAAAAATTTTTTCCAAAGAAGGATTTAAAAAAACTATTTTTTAAGTCGTTTTTTAGTGGGGAATAGTTAATGCCGAGTTTATAATACACAAAAAAAATAAAAAAAAAACAATTATAACAAATAAAATAATGTAGAAAATAGAAAAACATTTAAAAAGTTATAGTAAAAATAATACAATTAATGATAACTACTAAGAAAATTAATACAATAAATATATTTATCGATGTTAACATATTTATTAAGGGGTAACACTACCCTAGAGTCAGAAAAAGAGACCTATATCTTTGATGATTTGTTTTGAGAAAATGGAAACTAGAATAGGATTTCTTTCTGGAGGGTTTATTAAATACATATTGAAGAGTAGAAAAAAAATTTTTATTAAAAATTTTATAACAAAATGGCGGCGGTAAATTTCATAGTAAAAATCGACTATTTTTTTTACGGCCGGAAAGGTTTCTTGAACAGTTTAAGTCCTGAAACACAAAACAAAGAAATTTTATTATCTATATAATATAAACTTGAAAATTACATAGGATTTTTTTAATTGGATATAAACTTTAATTTTTATAAACAATTTACTTTTTATTTTTTGTCGAAAAATTGATTATTTTACTAAAAAAAGAGCACCATTTCTACAAAAATTGATATAAAAAAAACTCCTATGTACTTTTCAAGTTTATATTATATAGATTATAAAATTTCTTTGTTTTCTGTTCCAGGACTTAAACTTTTCAAGAAACCTTTCCGGCCGTTTTGGTAAAGAAAAAAATAGTCGATTTTTCCTATGCAATTTACCGCCGCCATTTTGTTATAAAATTTTTAATAAAAATTTTTTTTCTACTCTTCAATATGTATTTAATAAACCCTCCAAAAAGAAATCCTATTCTAGTTTCCATTTTCTCAAAAGAAATCATCAAAGATATAGGTCTCTTTTTATGACTCTAGGGTAGTGTTACCCCTTAGATGTTAATTTTAATATTATTCTCATTAGATTAAATTTCCACTTTAGATTATGTAATTCCGATGTATTGTTGACGAGATATAAAATATTTAGTTACCCCGAGTATACTCGGGGTTAACCGTTTTGGTGCAGTCAATTTACCCCGACTTAACTCGGGACAAACCGTAGGGAGGTTAAAGATATTTAACCTATTTTACTATGAATATACTGTAATTTTGTATTTTTGTAATTTTTTGCGATTTATGAAATATTTTATATTTTGTAGACACGAAACCGAAGAATTTTTGTAAATCTGACATCAAATTCGTAATCAGCGACCCAAAAAACCCCCGAGTAACAACTTTCAAGCGAATTCGTTGATTTTTTTAAAATTCAATCGCCATATTAGATCCGCCATTTTGAATTTTGAAAATCCCATATTAAATTCATAATTAGCAACCTCAAAAACCCCAAGGTACCAAGTTTTAATTAAATTAATCAAAATGAAAGATTTTTAATCGTCATATTTAATCCGCCATTTTGAAATTTCAAAATCTGACATCAAATTCGTAATCAGCGACCCAAAAAACCCCCGAATAACAAGTTTCAAGCGAATTCGTTGACTTCTTTTTAAAATTCAGTCGCCCTATTAGATCCGCCACTTTGAATTTTCAAAAAATGACTTCGAATTCGTAATCAGATTCAAATTTTTGTATTCATATGTTTAGGAAATTTAACTACTTGTATTAAATTAATTTATTTTTCACAAATTTAGAAATACAATAAATGTTTCGATGAGACGAGAAAATAAGGAATAAATATTTTTAAACAAATATATTTTTAAATAGTCGAAGAAAATGTAAATTTCACTTCATTTTTGAGTATTTTTTCAAATTTTTCAATTAATTTGAAAATCCAGGTGAAAAATTACTCGATTGTAATTAATTTCATTCCTAGTTAAATTTTAGAAATCTCTTTAAATATCGGGATAAGCAGATCCCACGTGATCTTTGCCACGATAACGGAATTTGTGTGTAATTATGTTGAATTTAGTGCCACCTAATGAAACAGGGCAGGAACCATCAGGTCGTACAAGGAAGCAAACGGTATAAAGTGACATTTCCAATTCGGGTGATGTTCCAATAAACATTGTCGTCACTGGCTTATCGATATTATTGAATTTCGAGTGTACTTTCAATACTGCCGCCTTCTGAAAAATTTAAAATTTTTTTAATTAGATAAAGTGGAGAAAATTTAGTAAAAGTTTCGTAAATTAGTTTTAGTCAATTAATTATTTTTTGAATTAATATTCAAGTATTAACTTCGACTTTTAAATACTTACATCTCCTAGATCGATTTTCTTCAAGTAACCAAGGTAGTCGGCCCTCTTCTTTAATTCCTCGGCATTAAAATAAATCCAATTGTGCAAGCCGGAAACTTCAGTTCCAAGTTTGAGTTCAGTCATGAAAACGTGCTCAAAACCGGTGCTACCAATTTTTCCATCGCCTCGAGAATAGAGATTGAACCACATGGTTCTTAGAAGATCCTTGTAGGCGTAGTAATCCTGTTTAAGGAAACCTTTGTTGGATAAAAATCGCATGGCAAATGACATGACGTTTGTACTTAGGAATGTGTCCACCAGGAGACTTTCCTCCTGACGTTGAGATGGATTTATGTGCTCGTTAGTTCTTGTGTCCAATTGGTAGTTGTCGTAGATTGTGAGAACTTTTTGAATTGTTGGAATCTGTAGGGCTTCTGGTTTCACGTTCAAAAGCCTGGACAAAAAAAAGTTTTGGAAAATATATTTAATGAGAAAATACCGCAAGCGGATTTGCATGTTTTTAACAATTACAATCGAAGAGGATTTAGGAGTTCGGAGTCGTAGAGAGTTAGAAACAATGGGGTCTACAGTCGTTTTTAATTAGGAGTCCGCAAGAATTATAATCTTGATGTTAAAGCAAATATCTATTCTCAATCGAAAGCACTCTGCGACATAGAGAAATGGCATTGATTTGGCAAGTCTCCTCAATACTGTTGCTCCTAAAGGGAGTCGAGATGGAAATATTATTGTTGTAAGGCTGTGAAAACCAAAACGACGATATCGGTTTATTGACATAATTGTGCTGTACCGACTGGGTCGGGGATACCTGGCTCCATTAGGACTATAATTCTGATGTTAAAAAGCAATCATCTACTCCCAAGCGAAAACACTACGCGACATAGAGAAACGACGTTGATTTAGCAAGCCTCCTAAATACCGTTGCTACCAGATTGTCGACAGTTGAATTCCTGTGGATAAGTTTCCGACAGTGGCGATTATAATAGTTCCTAATCTTCAACTATTAATTAGTGGAGACTCCGAAACGAGCGCGGTAGATCGTTCTCCTTTCTCATCCCTTCCTTCAGGAGTGGCGACTCCTAAAGGAACTTCTTAACATCAGAGGGAGATCTTCTAGACCAGAAGTAGGGACTCCTGACTAGAAGTCCCTTCTCAGAGGTCTGGAAGATCCCACTTGAAAGTCAAGACTATTAGAATCATTAAACATAATCCACGTCCGTTACGTTTTGATTTGTACCCATTTAGTATTAGAACCAATTTTTAAAAACACTCACGGCTGAGGAGCTTCATCAACAGGACTGCTTCCAGTGGTCTGCTTCTGAAGATTTAGGGTAATGTACTTCATGGCATTGTTTGCGTCCTTGATGAAAAGAGCCTCCGATAATTTCTCTAAATCTTCATCGGTGACAGTATTTCCCTTACTGAATGTTGGATTACTGGAGAATCTTGATGCGGCGGCTCCTGCAGCACCAGCAGCTGCGGCACCGACAAGTCCAGTTGCGACTCTAGTTCTACCAGGTTGAGAAGTCGGTGGAATGTTACCTGAAAAAATTTACAACAATTGAATGGTCGTTCAAAAATAAGCTTTTCTTTAACAATAAACATTTTTTATTATCTCATTTAAAAAGAATTCAAATATATTAAAATATAATTACACCATTGGCAACAAAATTCTTTCTAAAGTTTCCACGATTCGGGACGTGGGAGATGACATGACTCGCCTCAAAAATATATTGGCAATGAAGGTTTTATATTATTCATTGGTCAGACTAATTATTAAACTTGCCTCACTGATTTGATCACCTTACCAGGACTATCTTATAACTGAATTGGAGAGAATACAGAATAAATTTATGCGTTTTGTTGCAAGACAGGCGGGGATATTTGATAAATATAGTCATGACTACACGGAGAGGAAGTTATATTAAATTTTGTAAAAGAATTTCCCAATTTGGAGAAAAAGTGCCACAAACCGAAATTTTGACATAGAAAATACTAAATAGTGAAAGAAATAATATGAAATTTAGTAAAGTTATAGGGTCAGAATTCGTGAAATTTTCACAGAAAATAAAAAGTATTTTTTTTAAATCGAAGTGTTGAAAAAACATTTCTATTTGGCCTTAAGAATGTGTCCACCAAAAAACAGGAAAAAAAATTATTTTTTATAAAAGTTATTGCAAAATTAATTTTTTAGCAACTTTTTAAACAAAATTTTATTTCTCCTAAATGAATGAACCGATTTAAATGAACCAAGCGGGAATATCAAGGGGATAAAATATACTTTCGTTTAGAGTTAGAAAATTTTTAAAAAGTTTATTTTTTAATAATTATTTAATAAATTTTTTATTAACAATTAATTTTATTTAATGTTCTGCGCCTTTTAAAAATTTGAAAAAAATATTAACATACACTTAAAACTATAAGAAATCAAAATCCGTTGAGAAAATTTTGGAGCGACAATTATTTTAAAAGTTATAAACAAATTATATTGGCGCGGTGTTGTGCATCAACGCTGAACTTAGTTTTTGATCATTTTTATCAATTTTTATGGTTATATAATTGAATAAAAATGTTAATTTGACAGTGTTTTGTTCATTTCGTAGTTAAAAATAATGTTTTAATTCTGAAAATCATCAAAATCGCATCTCCGTTCAATATAATTTGTTTATAACTTTTTAAATAATTGTCGCTCCAAAATTTTTTTAACGGATTTTGATTTCTTATAGTTTTAAGTGTATGTTAATATTTTTTTCAAATTTTTAAAAGGCGCAGAACATTAAAAAAAATTAATTGTTTATAAAAAATTTATTAAATAATTATTAAAAAATAAACTTTTTAGAAATTTTCTAATTCTAAACGAAAGTATATTTTATCCCCTTGATATTCCCGCTTGGTTCATTTAAATCGGTTCATTCATTTAGGAGAAATAAAATTTTGTTTAAAAAGTTGCTAAAAAATTAATTTTGCAATAACTTTTATAAAAAATAATTTTTTTTCCTGTTTTTTGGTGGACACATTCTTAAGGCCAAATAGAAATGTTTTTTCAACATTTCGATTTAAAAAAAATACTTTTTATTTTCTGTGAAAATTTCACGAATTCTGACCCTATATCAAATATACGAATTTTAGTTAAATTTTATTATAACTTTACTAAATTTCATATTATTTCTTTCACTATTTAGTATTTTCTATGTCAAAATTTCGGTTTGCGGCACTTTTTCCCCAAATTGTAAAATTATTTTACAAAATTTAATATATATTTTCTCTCCGTGTATACTGTCTTGAGGCGGATTTTGAGCATTCCACTTTTAGCAATAGGTTTTTATTTTCAGACTTACTTTTTTGTACAAAACAGTTAATGGTATTATAAATTGCTCTATTATCTTTGTTAAATTTTACTGTTCCATTCAAACCTTTCAGAAATCCGACTCTACTCAAACAGTCAATACATGGAACTAATCACGTGTTAAATTCGGTGTTCGCTAGATTGACCAGAGAGGTTAATGAGTTTCACAATATTATTGATTTCTACGGTGTACCTTGGACTCTTTTATCAATAAATTAAGAAACCGAATCTTTAATTCCACGTGAATTGAATGTCAGCATTTCCATTATATATATATATATATATATATATATATATATATATATATATATATATATATATATATATATATATATATATATATATATATATATATATATATATATATATGTTAGGCTCAAATCCCGAAAACGCTCATTGAGCAAAAAAATCGACCACAACGCGTTCTGGACCCTTCAATGTATCAAATACCCGAAATTCGTGTCGTGGCACTATCAAAAACGACCATAACGCGTTGTGGCAAACTCGAAACGGTCAAAAACCAAATTTCGTTCTATTTATCTTGTCATATTGGACCACGTCGCGTTGTGGCAATAAGAAAATGCCACAACGCGTTGTGGGCGTTTATACTAATGCCATCACGATGCATTCCTCTGCATTTAAAGACGTTAAATCAAAAAAAAATTGTGAATGAAAACTTTACGAAGAATAAATTAGAAATTCAATTTATATTAATAGAATAAATGAAAATATTTCATTTAAATTTGTAATAGGTTTTTATGAATACGGAATCTACAAACTGCTCAGAGTGTCATAAATTTATTCATGTAAATTGTGGAAATATTGATTACAACGATCAGAGCTTGGGCGAAAGGATTATTTGTAAGATCTGCTTGAGGAGAAAAAATATAACTGCTGAGAGGGAAGGTGCTAAATGTGGGCAGGAGAAACAGGCACAAAAAATGGTTTCTTTCTCCAACTCCAAATTTTCGGAGGCTGAAATTGGCACCAACGTTGCAATAAGAGTGCCTGACGTTGATAGAGGACGAGTTGCTCCAAGAAACGTGTTAGCAACTGTTTTGGAGGTCAATTCTTCCGGGCTCTATAAGTTAGGTACAAAAGAAGGTGTTATTGACCGTCTTTATGCACGGAATGAATTTGTTCAAGCTGATAACGAATTCATAAACGTGAAAGATGTTCCTTCATCTTCGATAACTCTCCGTTCAGCATCAATGTTGTCATCAGGATGCAAGCAAGGATTTGTAAGCTGTACTTGCAAAAGATACTGCATTGATAGGAAATGCAGATGTCGAGCTAGAAACATTAAATGTAATTCTAAATGCCACAGTAACAGTTCATGTAAAAATAAGTAATCAATAATAAAAATGACGAATTTAATCTGAATTAAAAAATTGAATAAATAAAAATGAAATATGTCTAAAAGTTTCGTTTCATTACTCACCCATTTATTACATTCCACTTGAATATAATTAATTAATAATTTAAAATTTTTTTTTATTTAACGTCTTTAAATATTTTTTTTGATTTAACGTCTTTAAATGCAGAGGAATGCATCGTGATGGCATTAGTATAAACGCCCACAACGCGTTGTGGCATTTTCTTATTGCCACAACGCGACGTGGTCCAATATGACAAGATAAATAGAACGAAATTTGGTTTTTGACCGTTTCGAGTTTGCCACAACGCGTTATGGTCGTTTTTGATAGTGCCACGACACGAATTTCGGGTATTTGATACATTGAAGGGTCCAGAACGCGTTGTGGTCGATTTTTTTGCTCAATGAGCGTTTTCGGGATTTGAGCCTAACATATATATATATATATATATATATATATATATATATATATATTGCGACTGACAGATTAGCTCGGTCAGATAGATGCCTCGCTTGGCGGACGTTTAAGGACCAGGGGAACTTGGTTCGCGCCTATTTGACCTGGTATTTTTCCGGCACGTGAGATAATCTGAGCGGGACGTTTGACGTCGAGGTATAATGATGTGCACCGTCGATTATTGTCCGGTACACACCATTAGAACTCGGCTGTCGATAAACCGGTTGTACTCGGAGAAGGTTTTTTACAGTTTCCCCCTCCACTGGCGAGAAAACCCATAAGATGGGTGCTCCAGGCAAATGCGAGTACTCCTAATTTTCAAGTCGCTCTGTAGGCGCAAAAAATTTAGTATTAAGTAAATAAAAAGAAAAATTTCTACGATTGTAAAAACACTTGTATAGCCAAGATTGTATGCTTAAGACGGGTGTATAAATAAATAAAAATATATATTTTGCTATTATTAATTTCATATTAAAGTACTTCTGTACGAAAGGGAACTACCCGTGTAAATAAATAAACAATTGAGACTGCACTTTATGCTACCTCTTACTCGTACTTCTGTCATCTAATCCCCACTCTAAGTCTGCCTACCTTTTTATATCACGGGCGTAGAGAGAGAGGTCAATAGCGCGCGCAGTAGCTCCACCTCCTTTGTCTACTCTCCCCACCTTCTTTACGTTTGAACTCTGGCCATTCTGACCAGTCAGCATTATGCCAGGCCCGGTTAACTCTATTGTATGAACACGGAATTTTTTTAGCGCCACCTACGACCAACATATCAACTAAATTTTACCCAGCTTGTATATTTATACATACAATAGATATAGATATACTGTGTATATATATTATATATATATATATATATATATATATATATACAAGCTGGGGTAAATTTAGTTACTATGTTGGTGGTAGGTGGCGCTAAAAATGACGTTTTCATTCAATGAGTTAACCGGGCCTGGCATCATGCTGTCCTGCAATGAACAACTCCGGACCTAACAAGTACAGTGCATCCATACCGCAAAATTTTCTTTTCCCTTAAAAGCAAGTATTTCCAAACAAAATTTTTGTATTCAATAATAAAAAGTAGAAAACAGTTTCCTTTTTTAGTGTTAACACGTGGTTCGGAAGTACTAAATGATGTCATACGTCTGGAAGACTCAAATGGAATACGAATAGGCAAAGGACAAACAAGGGAGGATGTCAACTAGAAGCTGATACTGATCATGGTGAGTCTCAGAAATGATAAATATTTGAAATTTCGCCCATTTCCCTTTTGTAAAAAGACAACCCACGTAGAAGTATTCTGCGGAATGTACCCCTGTCTAACGGTTCATTTTTATGAAACTAAGTTGTATTGACTTCAACAACAAGCGAGTCTGATCCTTATAAATATTAAATAAATTTTCTACATTTTAAACTCTCGCTTATTTGGAAACGAGCGCGCTGCCAGACATACATTTTTGCAGGCTATTTTCGCCGATCGCACGGTGTTAACACCGAGCTATCGAAAGTCCAATTAGCAATAATGTTTATTAACAAAGGAGTCTAGGATGCACCTAATTTTCAATTATTTGCCCAATACACAGGAGCATCAATCGAAAACAGAGCTTGATGGGGAAGGATTGATGCTGTCAAAGGGGAGTGTCTCCTGCATGTAGGACAAATTATGTTGCTGTGAAAAATCTTATTATAAATGTTCAAATATATTTAGATGCTTGCGTTGCAGATATAAAGGTTCCTAATCTCGAATGTTTTAATACAATTCGTCGGTTGGGTGCAGAAAGGTGCCAATTCAGACTAGTCGTGAAAAACGTGCCGTTTCAAAAAACACGTGAGAAACCTGCCACTTCAGCTGCGATTTGGAAAACATGCCAACTCAGAATTGACGTTAATTTTTTTATTTTAGGTTGACATTTAACAGTACAGAAAAATTTAAAGCAAAGATTATAAAGTTGTACAAAAATTATTTTTTTAGTTGCATTTTGCATAATTGTTATTTTTCTTTGAAAAAGGAATATTTTTACTAATTTATTGAATTAATTTGTTGATTATTTATTATTTGATGGACAATTTCTTTCTGGTACCTAAAATGAAAAAAATGAACGTCAATTCTGAGTTGGCATGTTTTCCAAATCGCAGCTGAAGTGGCAGGTTTCTGACGTGTTTTTTGAAACGGCACCCCATGTAGAAATTTGTCGTGGCCTTCCTAGTGTTAGCCTACAGCTAGACAGTTTTTGTCGTAAAATTTTATTCTTAAACAACTGTCCTGGTCCCGTAAAGTAAAGTTAATGTACAGTTTTTATACAGTTTTCCCTTCATTTCTCTCGCTATGGAGACTGCCTTTAATTAATTCAATAAATTAGTAAAAATATTCCTTTTTTTTAAACGAACTTTTAAGAAATATAAATGCTTGTAAAAATTAAAGTTGCATTTAATATAAAGGTTTTAGAACTATATTTGGATAATTTATTCTTTAATTTAAAGACAGATTATAGGTTATAAAAATGTTATAAAAATTATATTTTTTTTCATTGAGATCAAGACTTTGAGATAATAGTAAAGAAATTTTAATTGTTTATATGGATTACCTGTTTTTAGATTCGAAAAAGAATCTAAGCTTTTATTAATTTTATTATTTTTGACATTTATGACTATTTTTGAACAATATTATAAGTTGGTAGCAGTGGTAGTAGCAGACGACAGTGTTACTGTGCATGCGACAGTTGGCAGAAATGGATCAGCTGATCGCGATAGCTGTGCGTGTCAGCTGTGCGTGTCAGCGTGTGTTATATCTTTCTTAAAAATTATCGTAGAGCAATTTTCAAAAAATCGTTTGAAAGGTGACAAAAAATGCTTTCCAATGACATTTGTAGATTTTAAATGTGATGATTTCTTCAAAATTTGTATCAATTTAAAATTTTTCAAAAAAAGTGAAATTTTTTTTTAATTTTCAGCAATTAAACATTAAAAAATTTTTTTTTTGAATTTTTTTTGGCATTATTTCAAGTCAAATACTTAAGGTTTAAAATAAATATTTGATTAAGATTTTATCTTTATTATTATTGAAGATACAAAACTTTTTGTAATGCCCTTGCATGGCGTAGGGTGGGCAAATCCTTTTGAGCGGCACTGTATAAAGTACTAAAGTATTAGGCATAATAAAAAAAATTTTCTAAATATGTCAAAAAATGACAGTACAAAATTTTGCTAATACAAAGCTTCCTTTATGAGGAAGCAAAATTAAAAATTCTTAGTTACTGTGGACCATTTCTCGGATTTTTTCGAATTGGACATTTTGCAGGACATGTCAGGAGAAACTATATACAACACGTGTAAAAGAAATTTTAGTCGACACGGTATACCTGAAAGAGTCTGTAGTGATAATGGAACAAATTTCGAGAATAAATTGATGAAGAAACTTGGTGAAGATTGGGGGTTTGAATTAGTCACCTCGGCTCCGAAACACCAAAGAGGAAATGTAAAAGCTGAGGCTACAGTGAAGATTGCAAAAAGATTAGTAAAAAAGGCAGACACAAGCAAAGAAGATCTTTGGTATATGTTACTTCATTGGAGAAACACACCTAACAAAATTGACTCGAGTCCGAATCAAAGAATATTCTCCAGAAGAACACACAGCGGAGTCCCTATGACAAATAAACATTTACAACCACAAACTGTTCTAGGAGTTCCGGAAAAAATTGATAGTAACAAGAAGATCAGTAAGAAGTACTATGATAAAAAAACTAAGGATCTTCCTAAATTAAATATAGGACAGGGAGTAGCAGTTCAACTTAATCCAGAAGTCAACAAATCATGGGTTAAGGGTGACATCGTTAAAAAAGTAAAAGATAGAGATTACATAGTTAATGTTGGTGATCGAACAATTAGACGCAACATTGTTCATATAAAACCATTCACGAATCTTCTAAAAAAAATATTCAAGCTAGCAATGAGGATCATCAACCGACTACAATGTGATACCTTAAGTTAAGAATATAATAAACTTATCTATAAATATTTACTGGTGTATTGTTATTACACAGACTATTAAAACACCCTTCCTTTGCTATAACTTCTTCAACTTTAAAATGATTGGACATTACTATCAATGAATATGTTGAATCTAATATAATATCAGGAATTGAAGGTGATAAAATTGCCATGCAATATAAAGATTTTTGTGCTAATAAAGACGTGCGAAAGAAATTCCTGGAATGTAACAGAAACAAACAGCGTCTCGACAACATCTGGATTCAAATTCTGGATGTATATTGGTCAAAAGACTTTTCTAATTTGGAAAACTTTTTATCTCATGGGAACGTGGTTTTTCAATAAACAAAGAATGTCTGGCACAACAATAGTCAAATGCTCAACGGATTTAGATAAGATTTTATAACTATTGATAAAAGTCGTCTATAAAATTACAAATTAGTTCTGATAATTAGAAATTACCTGGTTTCGCACCTCCATAAACCGGAACTCCAAAGTTCGGTCTGGAAGTTGTGGTGGTTGTGGATCCTGACGAAGCAATTTGGGCGAATGTTTTACCACCTGTTGGTGACTGGCTTCTACTTGGTGATCCTCCGGCATTTACTGGTCCACCAGCAGCGTTCGGTAGACTCGGAAAGTCTTTGGATCCACCGGTAGAAGCCGGACTTCCCGGTCTGGAATTTTCGGTAGGATAACCAAGACCTGCAGGACCCGCGGAGTTTCTCTGTGGTACTGGACTTCCTGGTCTTGGAGTTGGCCCAGAAATTTCTGGATTTGAAGTCTGCACTGGACTCGCAGGTCTTGGAGTCTGCACAGGACCTGCAGGTTTTGGAGTTTGTACTAAACCTTGGTTAGCGGATCTTGGTGTTGTAATTTCAGACTTTGGATTCACACCTGGTGATAATAGAATAATAATTTTTTAGATTTTAGACCTAGTTAGTTCTTTTTACCGAAAGTCACCTACCAGGTGGAGGAAGTTGTCCACCTAAAGTCGCGGGTCCTTGACCCGGAACGCGTGGTGGTGTTCTTCCCTCACCGGCTCCAGTCAAATCAATCGCCCAGTCTCTATAACCCGAATTTCCGGGTTTCTGTCTGGGAATGTCCAGGCCCACCTCGGTTCCAGGATTCGGTCTTTGGGGTCGCGCATTGTCCCGAATGTTTTCTGCGGTATTTCCGGCTCCGATTGACAATCCCGGATTGGCGACTCCAGCCAAAGCGGCATTTACATTAACGGGGGTTTTCGCAGTTGTCACTTGAGCTGCTACTGGAGTTGCTGCGCCTCTAGAGGTTGGTCTTTGAGTCACTGGCGATGCGGAACTTGTTATCAGGGGCGTTTCCGTTGTCCCATCTTTGTCCTTGTCCTTCTTCCAAAATTTCCATCCGGCATCGACATCTTTTGGAGAAGGAAAAATAATTTTTTTAGTGATTACTATTTATTTCAGGAGATATTTGTCATATCTCTTAAGCATTTTAGGTAGACTTTCAATTACAATCGGAATTTAGATTGATTTTAAGCTTGAATCGGAAATTTCACAGGAAATAGCAAAAATATTTCTCACTGATTTCCGGCGGCCGGAAAGTTTATCTTCCGATAAACTTTCATCACATTTCCAACAGATTTTCTGTAAACATATGATTCAAATCGGAATTTCTATACAATTTTAGGTGGAATCGTAAATTTCATAGGAAATCCTTAATATTTCCTAAAAATATCTGGTGGGGTTTTAAGTCTAATTGAAATTTGAGTTGGAATCGGAAAGTTTATCAAAGTCTTTCTATATTTCCGACTACATTTCTACACAATTCCGATTAAAATCGAAATTTCGGCAGAATTTTATTTGAAACCAGAAATTTTATCAGATATTCATCATAACTCTTAAGGATTTTAAATAAAATTTCAATTAGAATCAGAATTTCGATGGATTTACAGCATGAATGGGAAATTTTTTTAAGAAACCTTTAATATTTCCAACGAATTTCCTGTAAAATTGCAATTCTAGTCGGAATTTCGATAAAAATCGAGCCGGAATCGGATATTATCGGATATCTATATATATATATAAAATCAGACTTTTGTCTGTACATTGCTCAGAACTTTAAATTTCGTACATAATTATTCGTTTTGAGCATCAAGGATTCCTCTATATATATATATATAATTATATATATATATATATATATATATATATATATACTAGCTGCGATACCCGTCTTCGACGGGTTATTAGTTATTGTTATTCCTACTTATATATTAATAGCTGCGATACCCGTCTTCGACGTGTTTCTTAGTATTTTTATAGTTTTCCATATTGAGTATTGATTGGTATTTAACCAACTACATTGAAACTAATTTTCTTGATGATTATTAATAATAATTAATGAAGAAGAAAACGAAATTTTAAGGAAAGAAAAAAGATAATGTTTACAATTTTTAAAATCGCCCAAATGTGAAAACCATCATGGCTTAATAACGGCCCAGTACTGGCAAAGTTGTCACCTAGTCTTGGTCGATATTATTGGGACTACTCTTGTGGTGTTAATTACGGTTTGACGTCGGCAGACGTTAATGGCCCAATATTCACTGCTATTACTTTCCCAGTATTAGCAAAATACAAAAACTAATATAAATTATTCCATTTTTTATTAATTAACTATACGTCCCAATATTGGCAATTATATTTTGCCATCATTGCAGATACAAAATTTTTACTATTAATGTGCCATTACTGAGCCGATCAACGTCCCAATATTCTGAAACTGAAAATACCAACGTTTATTCGACGAAAATTTTTACTTTAGCTAATTGCTTATTTTAATATTAACACCCTTTTAAAAAAATTACAAAAGGATCACGGATTTCCCGAAATTCCTGGAAATTCAACTAAATTATTGTTTCCTCGCCTCGCAAGCATTTTTTTCTCTTAATAATCAGAATCCATTTAAAAAAATTGCAAGAGGATTCGAGGCGAGGAAAGTTGTGATTTTTATTTTTTTGTCACGGATTTTCCAAAAATCCGAGAATTCAGTTTTATCCAATACTTTCAATTACAACTTGCCATCATAAATAGAAAAGTTTAGCCTAATAGTCTGATAATAATGTGCCACTATTGGTCCGTGCTAAGTCCCGTTACCAGCAATGAGACGTTTTGAATGCCAGTATAGGCCCAGTAGTTTTTGCCAGTTTTCTGCAGACATTCACTGAAAAAATTACATTTTAATTTTAAGAAAATCTTAATATTAAAATCTTAATATTCTTATATTCCCCACTTAGATTATGTGGGAAATATTCTTACAATAAGAAGAAATTTAGTATTGTAAGAATATTTCCTACTTAATTTAAGTGGGGAATATTCTTGGCGCATATTTAAGAAGTTTTTCTTAAAATTAGAATGTAATTTTTTCATTGCTGACGGGCCCGTTTTGCAGTCTTAGAATTTCGCATTTGGAGCTTATAAAAAACCATTTATTATCTTTTTTCCGAGAAGCACCACGTGGAGGTGACCACTATTGGTTGTTTTTGGCAAGTTTTTAAATCCCGTGCAGAAATTGCCCTAACAGGGCTCTGACCCCGCATGAAACCGGGAACCCGACCGGGCCCCGGCCTGGTAGCTCGTCCAATCGGGCTTTTCGTCATGGCGCTGGGCGGGTTCCCTGTTTCACCCCGGTCTGGACCCGGCCAGGCCCCTGTCAACATTTCTACTCGGGATTATTCTCCAGGAGCTTTGTAAAACTAAAAAAAAATTCTTGTTAATTAAATTCGATAAAAAATATGAAACATTTTTATTTCAGTATTACTAAATTATCTTGGATCATAATTTGTAAAAACAAAAAACATCTTATTTAGAAGTAATAAGTAGGTAAAATCAAAAAAATTAGATATTAATATTTTCAATTTTTATGGGTAAAAATATTTAAACTTTTAAATTTTATATTTAAAATTCCTATTTTTTTCTATTTTTATGATAAAATTGAGATTAAAATTACCAAGAAAACAAATTAATTAATTAATTAGAAAATATCAATACCAACTTAATGCAAGAATTAATTAATATTTAACCCTTTGAGTAGCAGTGATACATTTAATTTATATGAACATTTTTTTGTTAACTTCTGTATAAATTTCTTGATTTTAAAAACTGAATATTGAAACAATTTTTTTGGTCCAATGAGGCAAATTTCTTGCTTTAAATACTGGTCTTTAAATAAAAAAAGTTTAATAACTTTCCATAAAAAGCTTGTTTAAAAATCAAAAATCATCATTTTTGTAGAAAAAATTTGATCAGAAAAATCGAAAAAATTTCAAAATACGTCTTTTTTTGAAATTTTAGTATAGAAATGGGTTGTATTTATCTAAAAAGTTAGCTAAGGATAGTTTTTCATCCATTTTATAAAAAATAAAAATTTTTCATTTTTTTGATTTTTCGAATTTTTTGAAAAAATGTCGTAACTTTCGTTTAAGTTAATATTTTTTAATCGGATAAGGCTATGATTTTAAGTTACGTTAATACCTACACGGAAAAACCTTTAAGCAGTCTGCTCACCCGAAACTTATGCGTCAGCGCCACCACTAAACTTGTTCATCTGCACTCCCAAACTGGGTGACCAACGTACCCAGTTGTAATTTTCTAAACTTTTTGGGAAGTTTGTCTATCGAAAACGGTAATGCTACGCACCCAGTGGCGGGCGATCAGACTTTCCATGCAGTGAGAAGCGAAATTTTGTGACAGTGGGAAGGCAGACTTCTCAAAGGTTTTTCCGTGTAATAGACTGCCAAGTTTCACTTTAATCGGTTAAACCGTTTTGAAGTGATGCGCGAACAAAGTTTTGCATACAGACAGACAGACAGAAATTTTTTTTTTTACATTTTTCGAATTCTCATGTCTCAAAACGAAAAAATATATAAAAATTTTCAAGCTTGGAGCATTGTACAGACAGAAGTCTGATTTTAATTATATATATATTTAATTATATATATATATATAAAATCAGACTTTTGTCTGTACATTGCTCAGAACTTTAAATTTCGCACATAATTATTCGTTTTGAGCATCAAGGATTCCAAATATACCAATAAAAAATTTCGTGTATGTATGGATGTATGTATGTATGTATATATGTATGTCACAGAATCTTTGTTCGCGCATCACTTAGAAACGGCTAAACTGTTTGAAACCAAATTTGGCAGAATGTTAGACCTTGGGCCAAGCAAGGTTTATAAATTTACAGATTTGACAAATATTAATTAGAACGGGAGATATTCAATTTTTTCAAAAAATTAAAAAATCAAAAATTTTCAAATTTTACATTTTTTTAAAAAATGCTCTCAAATTTTCTATAATTGAGTATAACATGTTATTTAGTCACATTTTAGAATAGTTTTACCAAAAATAATGTCCTATAACTAAGATGTAAGTATAAAAATGTTTTCAAAAAATTAAAAAAATCGAAATTTTTCAAATTTTATATTTTTTAATGAATTGCTTATAAACTCTCTATAGTTGAGTATTACATGTTATTTAGTCAAATTTTATCATAACTTTTCCAAAAATACTGTCCTATAACTAAGATGTAAGTATAAAAATGATTTCGAAAAATTCAAAAAATCGCAAATTTGCAAATTTTATATTTTTTAATGGACTGCTTTTAAACTATCTATAATTAACATGTTATTAAGTCACATTTTAGCATAATTTTTCAAAAAATAGTGTCTTATAACTAAGATTTAAGTATAAAAATTTTTTTAAAAAATTTTTTAAAATCGCAAATTTTCAAAGTTTACTTTTTTTACTGAATTGCTTTTAAACTCTGTATAATTGAGTATTACATGTTATTTAGTCACATTTTAGCATAATTTTGCACAAAAAAATCCTACGACTAAGATGTAAGTATAAAAATATTTTCGATATCAAAAAATCGAAAAAATTATAATTGTTGTTAATTACTATCAAGCTTAATTCAGTAGTATTTTTGGGGTCTTGGATTGAGATTTTGACGTCAAAATAATGCAATTCATAATTATTTATGCAATTCATTCAGTATATTCTTTAATTGAAAGAAGTTCAGAGACTTTAAAAATGGAGATATTTTATAATAAATATTTTATGAAAAAAATGATATCGCAGGATACCAGTCTTTGACGGGATTTAGTTTACCATAATAGATTTGACAAAGTGTCTACCAATTGCGCGGAGAAACCGATAAATAGCCGGGAGTTTAATTTGACTGGGAAAAACCGGGAATTTTCTTACCAAATTAAAAAAGTTTTATTATATTAATTTGTTTTTAGAAACTGCTTTTTACTTTAATTTTTATTTATGTAATATTTATGTAAACAGCCCCGAGACAAAATTTAAGCCCTACTTTCAGCCTAAACATATAGATTTTATTTAGGTTTTAGCAATCGTAACGTAGGGTCTAATTGCGACACAATTATTTATAATTAGACTCTACTTTGACTCCAAAAGCTGGTGTATAAATTTAGGAATAATTTTTAATACATTAATTGCAATACTAAAAACGCATAAAGTACTACAAGTTGACAAATTCTGTTCCTGAATAACAAATTTGATATAAAAAATTCTGTCACTGATTCAAATAGTAATATTTTTCTAACGAAATAGATAATGGTAACTAATTGTTAGTTTTTTCAAGTAAAATTTAATTCCCGGCTATTTCCCGGTTGGTAGACTCCCTATCAAATATATTAGTAGAAACTAAAACCCGTCGAAGACGGGTCCAACAGCTAGTTAATAATAATTTTAAAGTTATTCCTATACAATTCGGATATTTATCGGATATTAATAATAATTTTAAAGTTCTTCCTATACAATTCGGATTACAATCAGAATTTCAAAAGATTTTTAACTGGAACTTGAAATTTTATCGAAAATCCATCATATTTCCAACAAATTTTCTGCAAAAATATGATTCAAATCGGAATTTTACTAAAATTTTAGCCGGAATTAGAAATTTTGTATGAAACGCTTAATATTTACCATGGATTTCAGGTGGGATTTTAATACTAATCGGAATATTGTCGGAATTCAACTTAGAATCGAAAATTTTATTGAAGTTTCAAAATAATTTTAACGGTATTTCTTAAGTATTCCTATATAATTCCGATTGCAATCAAAATTTTACTAAAATGTTGCCCGGAATCGGAAATTATATAGGAATTTTACTATTTTTAAAAGTTGTTTTTAACCGGAATCGGAAATTTTATTTTTGAAACTAGCTCCTATAAAATTGTATTCGGTACAATCGACATTCTAATTTTGAATTCGATCTGTAACCGAAAATTTAATCAAAAATTTGATGGAATCTTCTCGGGAAATAAAATTTTTTTTTAATTGAAAAAATTCAAAATTGATTAGAATTTTAATTTCTTTAAAGTTATCTTGAAAATATATAATTGTGAATTGCTATGTTTGTTAATTAAAATTTGTTTATCGTTTACAAGAAAAAGTTGAATTTTTAAGTAAAGAAGATTTTGATTACTCCGCAAAGATTTGAATCTCGGCAAAATTATAATATTACTAAACTGGTTTTTCTTGAATCATCCAACAAATTAAATGTCCTTTATTTCGTCTGGAATTTTAAACTAATTCCTTGTTCTCTACTCTTGATAACAAGAGAGATAGAGTGAGATTTAACCTTCAAGGTATATTTATAGTGTCCATAGTTTGATATTCAATGTCAAATTCATCATAAAAAAAATAATTTTCACAATTTTTTAAAATGGGAACAATTTTTTTTAAAATTTCCTCATATTTTTAAAATCATAAGGAACAATTAATGCAAATTTTCACTTAACCTTAAGTGGATGTTTTTTCTTAAAGAACCTTGTTTGCATAGATTATTTATTTTATAGTACAAGGGCTTCTAACAAATTAAGTTAACAAAAAAAGTAAAGAAATTAGAATTTTTTGACTAATTATTAAAATACCAATAAATAATTTATGACTTCCGTTTGGAAACAATGACTTAATTTTTCTGATCAGTTTGAATTTTTGCAAAATTACCTAGAAAGTTAGTTTAGGAATCAATGTCTTTATAAGTGAGAGTCGAAATTTAATATTAAAAAAAAAAGTTTAGAAAAAAGGAAAATAAATATATAATTTGATAAATTATGGACATTATAAAAATATATTAACAAAATAAGTTTTTTATTTAATAAATATGTATATAAATAATACAAAAAAATATAAACTTTATAAATAAACAATGCAAATAAATATAAAATTTATAAATAAACAAAATTCATATGTAAGTAAATTAAAATTAACAAACTTGTAAATAAATTAATTAACGAAATTTGTTTCGAAATTTATAAATTTATAATTAAATAAGGAATTGTAAGCTTACCAATAAAGTAATTAACAAATGAGTTTGGAAATTAATATTTTTATCAATAAAAAAGTTTGAAAAGAATGAGTAAATAATTAGAAAGAATAAATAATACTTAAATAATTTAAGTAATTATAAACTAAATAAATTTATAAATAAGTGACCTTGAAAATAAGTAAATTTAAATAAATATGTGAATTATTTTTTCTAGTTAACTAATAAACTTGTAAATAAATTATTGAGAAATTAGTAAATTTATTTTCTCACAATCAGTAAACTTAAAAATTAAAAACTTATAAATAAACAGATAATTTTTAAATGAGTTTATAAACTAAGAAATTATGTAGTTATTCCTATATATCCTATATAAAATGATTTTAAATAACTTACCTTAAATTTAATTAAATGGTTTAAATATTGTAACTTTAATATAATTAAATAGTTTAAATAATTTAATTTAAATTTATTTAAATAGTTTAAATAATTTAACTTAAATTTAATTAAATAGTTTAAATAAATTAACTTAAATTGAATCAAATAGTTTAATCGTTTAACTTAAATTTACTTAAGTAGTTTAAATAATTTAACTTAAATTTAATCAAAATAGTTTAAATTGCTTAACTTAAATTTAATTTAATGCTTTAAATAATTTAAAATGAAATTTCTCGCTAAAAATTGCTTTTAATATTTGCAAATAATAAAATTTCTATACAATGAATATTTTTATTTTGAGTTAATAAATAGAAAATCAAATATAACTCAAAAATAAAAATTGCTAAATTTTTTTAAAAACGTTTTTCACTATTTTTTGTTTTCAATAACAAAAATCCCCGGCCACTCACCAATAACAAATGAGACAGCAATCACAAAAACAAGAAAATAGAGAGACTTCATCTCTCGCTAATAAAATACAACAAAAACTTTTTAATTTTTCCAAATATATATTTGGACCAACTTTTTTTTTCTTCTTAACAAGGAAAAAATATAGAAACAACTTTTTAAAATCAAGAGTCAACAAGAACGAGAACGTCTTAAGAATGACTGAATCGACTGAATCGATGTGGCATGTATTAAAAGTCTTTCCTTCAGATCGTAGGAAATATAATATAATATGACTTTCCACTAAGACGTAGTCGACGATTGGTCAAAAGTGAAAAATGTAAAATAAATCCGAGACCATGACAAAGATTGTTATATGATTCTTTGAATATACCTTTGTGTTATGGGGGTGGGGAGACTTTTCACAAAGGTACAACCCCGTTAGCACGTAATAAAATTGTATTTTGTTATTTTCACTGTAGAGCTTTTAAACTTATAGAATTCAATAGCAAATGCGATGATGTCAGGTTTGTTGTGTATGTGATTTTTCGAGTGAGAGAGAGAAGGTCACTTAAGATGAGACCTTCTTGTGAGACGACTTTGCATCTTATTCGAATTCAAAATGTTGAACAGAGATGTCAAATAGTTTTTAATGTAGATAATGCGCGCTCGTATTTTACACTTTATAGTTCTCGTTTTCTGGATAACCCAGTTTCGTAACAATTACATGATTTTTTTTCTCTCATCCACTTTCTTTTCGCGTATTTCTAATTTTGCATTTAGTTATTTCTTTGAATTTAGTTATTATTTTGAATTTAACTGTTTCTTGGAAATTAGTTATTTTTTGCAGTTAAGTTTTTTTTATTCATTTGGTTTTTTAACTTCTTTTTGTATTTATTTTTCATTATTTTCACATCTAGTTGTCATTTAGTTTTTTTGCATTTACAGGCATTATAATAAATTATAATAACAATAATAAGTCAATAACGTCTATTAATTAGTGAATAACAGTAATAAGTAAATTAATAATTTAATAATAAATAACATTTTTTTAATTATAAAAAAGTTTTTGAGGGATAAAGTGAATTTCTTCACTTGAGAACGCCAAGGTCATCAACAGGTGGCGTGGAATTTGATTTTGCCAACTGAATTGCCATCTAGCGGTGACCTTGGCGTTCGCAGGTGGAGAGTAGTGTCTCTCCATATTGAATCTCAATTTGTTCGTAATTTTATAATTATTTACAGGGCTCGAACCATAGTGAAAGTATTACAAAATACGGACTTTACGGACCAAAAATGAAAAATTACGGACCAATTTCTGACAAAAATATAACCAGTCCGAGTCAAATAAGAGAACATTTTACTTAAAACTATAAAATAAATTTTTCCATGACTATAAAACATGAAGACATCGATCACTTCTAGTCTTTGACTCGGAGTGATCGATTTCTTCATGTTTTATAATAATTAAATTTGGCAAATTGATAAAATCATTATTTTACATTATAAGAATATTGTACTTCTTCAAAATTATTTTCATCATTTCAATTCAATTATTATTTTAAAGAATTTTTAAATAAAATTCTTCTTTAATTAAATCAATTAATTTTCGAAAAAGTTCTTTGACAAAATTTCAAATCCATTAGTTTACAATATTCAATTTTAAAATTTAATTCCAAATTTCAATTATTTCTTATAATCCACGCTATATTGCTTTTAATATTTAATTATTATTTAAAATTTGAACTGAAATTAATTTTTAAATCAATTTTTATTAGAAAATTCTGTTGAAGTTCAATTATTTAAATACAATAATAAATAATTTATTGAATAATTGATGTTTCTTAAAATTGAATTCTCATAAAGAATTTTATCAACAAATTCTTAAATAATAAAATTCTTTCTACGAATTATTATGTAAAATTTTAACTAAAATTCATTTTTAAATCAATTTTTATTAGAAAATTCTACGAGAATTCAATTATTTAAATACAAAAATAAATAATTTATTAATTGCATATTTCTTAAAATTGAATGCTCGTAAAGAATTTTATCAAATATATTTTTAAATAAGTAAATTCTTTCGACGAATTTTTTGTAATAAAATTTTTAAAAATAATTACATTTTTCAAGAAATTTGTTTAAAATTGTATTAAAAATAATTGAAATTATGCCATGAGTTTTATTATTTCTGAAAAGAATTGAATCCCTAAGAAGAATTTTATTATATTTAAACATAATTAAATTTCTGCGAAAAATTTTATTACTCTTGAAAATAATAAAATTTCTGCAATAATTTGTAACTTCTCCAAAATTATATATTTTTTTTATTAAAATTCTTCTATAAATCCATTTTTAATAATTTTTGGTAAAAAGTTTTTTTTAAAGTTTCAAATTCATTTGTTTACGATTCAATTTGACAAAATTTCAATTATTCGGAAATTCTTTAATTAAATATATATTAGAAAATAAAAATTTCAAAAAAATCTGCAATTAAACTTTTCCAAAAAAATTAATACCACAGAATTGTTAGTCAAAAATATGAAAAATTCAGATTTTCAAAGATTTTAATTTGAAACCTTTTCAAAATTCAATTATTTCTAAAAACTCACGCTATAATGCTTTTAATATTCAATTATTATCTAAAATTTAAACTGAAATTTATTTTTAATTCAATTTCTATTAAAAAATTCTGCTAGAATTCAATTATTTAAATACAAAAAAATAATTTATTGAATAATTGATTGTTTCTTAAAATTCAATTCTCATAAAGAATTTTATCAACAAATTTTTAAATAATTGAATTCTTTTGACTTTTTCGAGGAATTCGAGTAAAGTAGTATATTAAAAATAATTGAAATTCTGTGGTATGAGTTTTATTATTTATGAAAACAATTGAATTCCTAAAAAGAATTTTATTATTTTCGAAAATAATTGAATACGCCCTGTAAAAATTTTATTATTTATGAAAATAATTGAATTATACCCGTGTAGAAAAATGGTGAGGCCCTGGCGAGGCCCTCGTGAATTGCCCTCTTCCCATATGGAATCTGTAAGGGCAATCCACGCGGAGCTCTCGAAGACGTGACATGCTTTCCCTCATGGGTGTCCTCATGGAAAATCCTCATAGATTCCATTTGGGTTTTCCATGTGGTGCCCTCGTGGATTTCATAAAATGCCCCCGACTTTATTTTTCAATTAAGTTATTAAATTAATTGTTTATTAACAACAAATATAAGCTCAATTATTAATAAATAACATTGTGATTTAACGATTTTTACCTTTTTTAATTACATTGTGACCAATAGCGAATTATAAACAATGTTAGTATATATTAGGATTAATACATATCTCTTTATATATAAATAAAAAATTATTAAAAAATTAAATATTTGTTAAGGTCGGCCCACCTTTTTATTTTGTTTATAACTTTTTTTTAAAAATGAATTTGGACAATTGAAGTATATGATTGGAAAGTCCTGTTTAATAGGAACATCTTTTCTGTACAAAGTAAATTGATTGGTTTTAAAATGAAAAAGTTATAAAGATTTTAAAAAAAAGTGTAGTGCAGGTTGGTCCTTACAGTCAAGGTCTGTCCATGTTTAAAATTCAAAGGGCATTAATCGTTAAAAAATAAAATAACATGTTTTGAGTTACGAAAAATTAATTCTTTATTGTTTACAGCTTGTAACTTAATGAAATAACAAAATAATAAAAATAAACAATATAAAAAAATAAATATAAATAAAAATTTTAATAAGATGATCAATTATATTATGATTAATGTTCATAATGTATATGATCTTGGGAAGGTAAGATTTAAATAAAAATTCAAAAGTGTGTCGTTAAAAGAGCGACGTTTCGTTGGCTAGGGTTTGCCAACCTCATCAGGCTAAAATTACACTTCAGTATTTTTTTGTAAAGGTCTAAAAGCACTATTTCTATAAATTACCAATAATGATATACCTAAATTTTGTTAGAACATAGAACACATGCTAACACGTCAAAGATTAAAATTTCGTCAAAATATAGTAAAAAATCATTCCACACTTATAAGAATAAAATTTAAAATAGAGAGAAGACATTCTCAAACAGCGATTCACTGTCAACTGAAAAGAAATTTATTCATTTTACAAAGTCAAACCAGCAAACACGTGAGAGAAGTCAATGAACCAAAACATAAACACATTCTTAAATGAGGTACAAGTTATATTGATTTTATTATTTTCTTTATGGACACGAGTCCACACGTCTAAGTAAAAGAAAGAATGTTTTGTTTAAGGTAAAGATATCTTCCTTTCTGTTGATAGTGGAACGATTTGTTTTTATATGAATCATTTCAGATATTCTTCTTTTTAGGGTTCCGTACTCGGTAGGAACTCTATTAAAACGGTTACGGAAAATGACCATGAACCCCCCCCCTAGCGCTCCCAGTTTTTTATCTAGAGAGCTAAAAATTGGTACACGTATGTATTTTCACGCGTAGATTGCACGAAAAATATAGCGAACCTGATTGGAGTTAATCTTCATAGAGTTTTCCGCGAAAAACATCAAATTTTGGCCGTTTTTCGCAAAAAAAGGCATGTACTCCCCCTGGCGCTCACAGTTTTTTACCTAGAAAGATGGAAATTGGTATGCATATGTATTTTCAAAAATGGTTTACAGAAAAAATATAGCGAACATATTTGGTATTGATCTTCATAGTGTTTTCATCGAAAAACTAGAAAATTTTGAAAAAAATGGATGTACCCCCCCCTGGCGCCCACAGTTTTTTATCTAAAGAGCTGAAAATTGGCATACTTATTCGTTTTTACGCATAGATTACAGGAAAAATATAGCGGAAGTGATTAGAATTTATTTTCATGGTGTTTTCATCGAAAAACTAAAATCTCTTTTTGCAAACTCGAAAATTCTTTAACCCTTGCTGGTTCTCTCAATTCTTAATCTAGTGGACTGGCGTTATACATTTTTATTTATTTTTTCGTGTAGATTTCAACAAACATACAGAAAAAGTTATTGGAATTCATCTTTATATTTTTTTTGCGAAAAACTAAAAAAATTTTCGTTTTAAAAAAAAGTGTGTACCCACCCCTTGGTTTTCACAATTCTTGGCCTATTGGATATAGTTTTCCTTATTTTATGAATTTTCATGTGTAGATTTCAGGAAAAATAGACCGAATATGATTGGATTTTATCTTCATATTTTTTTAGCGATAAACTCAAAGTTTTTAAAAATTTCGTCAAAAATGCGTGTTTTTTACCCTAGCGCCCACAGTTTTTTATCTGAAGAGATGAAAATTGGTTATTTATTTATTTTCACCTCATGTAGATTACAGAAAAAATACAGCGAAAAATATTGGAGTTGATCTTTATATTTTTTCAGCAAAAAAGTAGAAGTTTTAAATGTGGGTACGGAACCCTCGGTTTTAGTACGAGTTCTACTCGCACTTGTCCGGTTTTTTAAAATTAGGTTCATTATCCAATATTTTTGTATTTTCCCAATCAAAATCGTGATTAAAATTTAAACGATGTCGATAGACCACAGAATTATCCTTCACTTTTTTATGTTCGTTGATGCGAGTTTGTACCCAGTAAACGAAAACTAATTGAAATGAATTAAAAAGAATTCACAAAGAGCTTTCGTGAATCCCGCTTTGTGACAAATACAAATTGGAGCCATGATGCAATTTTCCTGAATTCGTGAAACTGTATTGAACTTCCGAACCTTCTATCCGTACCAATTCACTGGACAAGTTTTGAGCCTTTAATTTTTTTTCAATTCGTTAGCACGAATTCAATGCATTCCTTGGCCATTTCTTTCGAATGCGAATTTGTTTGGACAAATTGGTACATATTGAAATAAATTCAATTGAATATACAAAGAGCTTGAGTGAATCCCGCTTTGTGACAAATACGAATTGGAGCCTACCAAAAATGTTAATTCGTTTCAATTCATTTGAATTAGTTTTTTTTACTGGGTAGTGATCGCTTTGTCTTCCTATATAAGTTGCTGGGCAGTCTTTCCAATCAAACTTATATACGACATTCGTTTTATCACATTTTTTAGTTGTATCTTTTCTCAATTTTACAATAGAATGAGAGTTTTTGTTTACAATGCGAATAGAAGTACAATTAAATTCCCTAAGAACATTTAACAACTTAAAGAAATATTTTTCGTTAAAAGGCAAAGCGACCTTGGGGATTTGACTATATATATTAACTCTATTTTGGTTGTTATTATTCTCATTCGAATATTTTAATTTGTTCATTCTAATACCAATATGTTTTTCGATAAAATCTAAAGGATAACTATTGTTTTTTAGAATTTTTTTAATTGCAGTTTTTGCAAATGAAGTAGCTCGTCCTCATCTTTGCGCATTTTAAACACAAAGTGGACGACCTTGACAGAAAGTAACATTACCGAATTGTTGTAACCAAAAAGAAATATGTTTCGGGATTCGATTTTTCACTTTGATTTTCTTTCAACCATGAGTCCCACAAAATTTCTGCATGCTTGCCTTGACGATTCAATTTTTTGAAAATGTAATTAACAAAAAGTTAGGTTTCACTAAGACAAGCTTTGACAAGTATCAGCGTAGGTGGCGCTAGTGAACTTGACAAAATATGTAACGCGAATGGCCTACCTAGACAGTGGTCCAACCTCGACTATACTCCAGGCTTCGAAGTCTAGTAGCAGGTCAAAAAAAGTATGAAAAAGTAGCATTTTGATGGAAGAAAAAAGTGTCCTCTAAATTGAAAAAAGTAGCAAAAAGTAGCATATTAAAAATAAAGTAAAATTAGTTTTTTAAGTAAGAAAATTAAGTGAATATATGTTGTTGTCGAAAAAATTGAAAGAAAAAAATATTAGAAATACGAATTCACAAATTTTTTATTAAATTTTGATATAAACATAAAACATGAAAATATAATAGCTTTTTTGATAATACCAAAAATTTTATTGGCATTTTGTCGTATCATTAATACCAAACTTTTTATTCAATAAAAGCGCAATAACTCCTGTTTTTTTCGGTAGAACTAGAGCGAACCAATTTTTTAGTTAAAAAAAGTGTTTTTCAGAATTTCTGTTTAGTATATTTACTGTATTTTTTAGTGGCAAAAAAAATTGCGGATAACATTTACATATCAATTTTGGTTCTACTTTAAAGTTCCGACGAAAATTTAGACATACGTTAACATCTACAAATAATTTCAAAGCTTTAAAAAAATAACGGCAAGGTCTGCACGTTGAGACACACTGTGGTCCGCAGGTTAAAACGCTCACGGTATGAAAATAGTACTGTCATTAAAATAGATTTTAAATCCACAATTTTTAAGCGTTTTACATGTTCTTTACCTGTAAAAATTGCGAATATAAAAATTTCGATTAATTATTTTTGTGCAAAATAAAATTTTATTTTTTGATTCTCTTCTTTAATTTAATTTTTAATGTTTTAATTTTTTTTCTTTAAGCTAAGACCATCAGAATAAGTAAATAAACAACAAACAATTAGAATCTGACGTAATTATTCATTTTGTTTCAATTTAAAATAAATTACTATGGGTGTCTCAACGTGCGTACCACTTTTTTTTGGTCAAAAATAACATGTTTAAAAAATCAGCTATAAATTTTTCAATTTTGTCCAAAAAAAATAACTTTCTTCGGCAATGTTGTAGCCTTGGACAATACTTTTAAGAAAGCATTTCAAATTTTTCGCTAAATTTTGTTTTTTAAAAATTATAACTGAAAAACAGAACCCGTCTCAACGTGCGTACCTCTCCCCTATAAATTACATAATATGTTACATAATATATAACTGTATTGTAACATTTTCCTAGATTATAAAATGTTATATTCCATTATTATTAAAAACTGTGCGAAAATAAAATTCGTAAAGCAAGTTGTTTCATTTCAACTTGTTTTAAATGAAGAAAAAAAAGTATATGGAGTGTATAACTCTTTTTTCATTTTAAGCCAAGCATAATAAAGTAAAGATTTCCTTCTTTCTTTCTTTTATTTTTTAAATAAAGAAAAACTAAAAACACATGCAAAGGGTTAGTTTTCTTCGCCTCTGACGTAAACTATTAATTGTATATGACATCAGTAACCATAAAAAAATTGCTTTTTTAATATCTACAAGCTTTTTCTGCTGATATTCTTTCTCAAATGTATATTTCTCGAAGAAAAGCTGAATTTTCGTTATTTTGAATTTTCAAATCAACTTTTCTTAAAAACGGCTCCACAGAAGAATTTTGTTTTTATTGGAAAATGATGTACTTATGATCTAGAATCGAAATCAAGAAGAAAATTTCAGGTGCCAGAACCGTTAAATTTTAATTATTAACTTTGAATTTTTAATTACAAATTTCAATTTCAAGCAGTGTTTAATAGCAATACTTAATTTTTAAAGAGTTAAATTTTAGATTATAATTAAAAATTTTAAGCAGTTGGATTTTAATTTTTATCCGTTATGAAATTTTCATTCTTAACAGATAAATTATACACTGAAAAAACCTAGGTTCAAATTGAGTAGCCTACGCTACTCAATTTGAAGCGCAACAAAAATGAACCTCGTAGGTGGCGCCACGTTATATGGCGTTTAACATGTGCTCATTTTGAGTTGCTACAAAAATGAGTCCAGGTTTTTTGTATGTAATTTAAACTCTGTAAGTTTTTTCGTTTTTCTTTTTAAATGAAGTACCTCTTCATCTGAATCCTCGGTGAAAATAATTTTACCACCAACGGAGAAGAGTCGCATTGATAATTCCTTTTCTCCAGTGACCTGTATTTCTTCCTTTGAATTAGTAGATGTTTCTGTATTCCTCAATTCAATCCAAGGTCCAGGTGATATCTCCCTTTTGAAATCCCTTGAATTTATTTCTTCTTTCTCTTCTTTTTCAATCTTCTCCACTCCCGCTATTAGAAACATTTCGAAAAATGAAAAAAAATTATAAAAATATTTCTCTTCGTAAATAATAAAAATATTTAGTAGAAAAAAATTGTTTTTGTAATTATATTATAATTTTATAATAACAATAATAATAATAATAATAATAATAATAATAATAATAATAATAATCTCCCTTTGCGGAAACTTCCTGCTATCTTGGAGAGACACATCGACCTCCACGTCCGAACATACATGTTCACGTGCCCTTGGATATCATAGACGTCGCATCAATGCTCCGGCAAAGCTATAACGTCTATGTAACTAACGGAGGCGGTTTAGGGCCCATCCTGGCCAGATGGTAGTACCCTGTTAAGTCGGTGCAGACGGCTCCAAGGATTTTGGAGGGAGCCAAAGCAAAAATTCTGAGGATGTGGGACTTAGCAGATTCGAAGGAAATGAGACCAAGGTCGAATCCTGAAACTCCTAGATCGATGTCGCACGCCACATCCAGCGAGAGCAAGTCCATCGACCCAAGGAAGCGCCCTAGAGAGTTTGAAGGTCCGGAGACTGATTCTACTGTGACCACTCCCAAGGGCAAGAGGGTTAAGAGCAAAGAGACCAAGGCAAACCTTACTGCTATGGAGACGGAGGTGAGTAAGGCTGCTTCGGCCAGGGTTGCTTCTTATTCAGAGGCAACTGTGGAAAGTAAGCCTGAAAACGAAAAAGACTTCGAAACCGTCTCCAATAGGAAACGGGAGGCCCGTAAGAGAAAGGCCTTGAAGAAAGCAGAAGAGAGGGAGAGACTTCAGAAGCGCTCCCCCAAAATTAGAACCACGAAGGCAATAAAAATTTCGGCCCGGAATCCAGAGACCTACTATGATCTTATAAAACTGGCAACAACTTCGGTAAAGCCAGAGGAAACTGGCACAGAGATTGTGAAAATTAGGAGAACTCTTAAAAAGGAGGTTCTTGTTGTTGTCAAAAAGGGGAGTGAAACTTCAAAGTTCGCTGAGAATCTTACCTCCGTCCTTCAGGACAAGGCCGAGGTTACGGCTCTTGTCAGTAAAAAGACCCTCGAAATTCGGGAACTCGACGAAACAACTTCAGAGGCGGACGTTTTAACCGTCTTAAAGGAGAAGTTGCAAAAGCCTGAATTGACTGTGACTTGCCGACTTCTGACACGTTTTGGTGGTACGAAAGTGGCACTAGTACGCTTGAGTGAAACGGACAGCGAGAGACTGCTTAAGCTAGGCAAAGTGCGTATTGGTTGGATAAACGCATATATCCGAACGCACTTAGAAGTGACAAGATGTCAAAAGTGCCTAGCCTATGGACACGTGACCCGAATTTGCAAAGGCCCCGACAGAACAAAAAACTGTCGGAGATGCGGCGAAGCGGGACATTTCGCCAAGAGTTGTACTAGCGACAAGCCAAAGTGCATTACGTGTACAGATTTAGGAAAAACGGAAGTCAACCATATCCCTGGAAGAATTTCCTGCCCGGTTTACAAGGAGGAACTGGAGAAACTTAAAAGGGCAAATCCCTAAAGCTCCTTCAAGTCAACCTGCATACAAGTAAGGATGCACAGGTGCTCCTGATGTAAACAGCTAGGGAAAATGAGGTCGATATCCTGTTCTGCAGTGAGTAGTATCAAGGAAGCGACCTCGCACCTTGGTATCAGGATAAGGCGAAGAGAGCCGCCATCAAGCTGTGCAATCCAGAATTGCGGGTTGACAAGTTCTTGGAGACAAGCAGCGGGTTTGTGTGGATAGAGATGGCTCATATACGTATGTATAGCTGCTACTTCTCACCCAACGACCCACTGACTACCTTCGAAGCCAATATAGAAGACCTAGAATCGAGCCTCACAGAATCCAAGCTGGATATCATCATCCCTGGCGATTTTAACGCAAAGTCGCCAGAGTGGGGTGAGACGAGACTCGACAAGAGAGGAATTCGTATTGGAGAAATGATCTCCAGAAACGACTTATTAGCTGTAAACCGAGGTAATACATGGACTTTTAGACGAGGTGCGATCGGATCAATTATAGATTTAACATTCGCATCGTCTAAACTTTTTAGCCGCATAACCGACTGGCGGGTCTCTGAGGAATATACCGCAAGTGACCACCAGTACATAGAGTTCTCAGTCTCGATGGGAGACACACGAGGAGAAAAAAGACAGGATGTTCCTGGTCGCAAAACCTCCTCGTGGAATATGAAGAGACTCGACAAGGAAAAGTTCGGCCGGTCCCTAAGAGAAGCCCTTTTAATTGAGGACTTGGGCTGGGTAAAGAGGCCGAGCAGTCTGGATAGGGAGGTGCGAGCGGTGAGGAACATGATAGTCACTGCTTGCAATGCGTCAATGCCACGCAAAGGCGCCATTCCCGTAAGAAAATTCTTGCACTGGTGGTCAGAGGAGCTAGCCTTCTTGAGGAAGGAATGCCTCAAAGCAAGAAGGACATATACCCGATCTAAGGGAGATCCCTTGCTGAAAGAGGCTTTCAAGGAGGCGAAAAAGAACCTCAAGAAAGAGATCCGCAAGTCGCGACGCCGTAGCTGGAAGGACCTAATCAAGGAAGTCGATAAAGACCCATGGAGTCTGGCTTTTAAAATCGCGACTAAGAAATTAGTGACGAGGCAAAAGACCCCCGGCCTGGACAATCCCGATTGGGTCAGAAAGATAATAAGTTCTTTGTTTCCTCCCGCAGAACCATACCTTAGAAGGGACTGGAGTTATTGCAAAGTCGAAGAGGAAGAACTTTTCACACTTAGTGAACTGCAAAAAGCAAGCAAAAGATTGAAAATAGGCAAGGCGCCTGGAATCGATGGGATAAGTAACGAGATCCTAAAGTTGGTAATCGATACTTCACCCCAGATTTTGCTTCGATGCTTCAATCTTTGCCTTGAGAGAGGAGAGTTCTTTCGCGACTGGAAGCGACAGAGGTTAGTCCTCCTGAGGAAAGGTGAAAAACCTCTAGATAAAGTCTCATCATACAGGCCTATATGCCTGCTAGATACGATAGGTAAACTTCTAGAAGATATGGTTCTGCAGAGAATGCAAAGCCACTTGACCGAAGAGAATCGTCTATCCGATCACCAATTTGGTTTCCGTGAAGGCAAGTCCACAGTTGATGCCATCCAGGCAGTTGTGGACATAGCCAAAGCAGGAAAAAACAAATTAGGACCTGGAAAAAAGAAGAGCTTCTGCGCGTTGGTAGCAAATGACATACGCAACGCGTTTAATTCCGCAAGATGGAAAGATCTCATTGAGTCGATGAAAAAGAAAAACATGCCGCCCTACTTGTTGCGGATAATGGATAATTATCTTAGCGACAGGTGGGTTATATATGAGGGAGACACCTGCACTCTCAAGGAAGAGATGCAGCGTGGGGCTCCTCAAGGCTCGAGGGTGGGTCCATTTGTATGGAATGTATCTTACGATGATTTTCTGCGAATGGTTCTACCCGAAGGTGCGGTGATCATCGGCTTTGCGGACGACGTGTTGTTTGTGTGCACTGCCGAAAGTGAGAAGGCTCTTGGGACATTCGTGAACGAATGTCTGCGACTAGCAAAAAGCAGGCTGGATACCAGAGGTCTTGAAATGGCCCTGGAAAAGACCGAGGCACTGCTGGTCACAGACAGACGTGGGTACGAGCTCCCACGAATTGTGATAGACGGATTCGATGTCAAGTGGAGTAAGCCAATTAAATATCTTAATGTGGAGTTGGATGGAAGGTTAAACTTCCACCACCACATGGCTACGGCGTCAAATAAGGCGATCGAGTGTGCGGCTAATCTTTCACGGTTAATGCCAAACGTAGGCGGACCCCGTGAGCAAAAAAGAAGACTGGTGGCGAATGTCGCCCATGCTTAAATGCTCTATGCACCACCAGCGTGGGCCCCATCCCTGAGGAGTAAAAGATGTGTTACCATCTGTGAGAGAATACTGTTGGCGCAGAGATCGATAACATTAGAGATTTAAATTACGCGTATCATCTCTGCATATAAGACGGTATCTACGAGTGCTGTGCAGGTCCTTGCAAGTGTCCCGCTAGCAGATCTTTTGGTGAGGGAAAGGGAAGAAATGTTTCTATTTTCTAAAGAAAGCAGTTCCTCGGATGAGGAATTAAGACCAAGCAAGGGCCTGATACGCAAAAAAGCGAGGCACAGGCTCATAGAAAGATGTCAAGAAAGATGGGATGGTGAGTAAAAAGGTCGATGGACTTATCGCCTTATCCCGGCACTCGCCACCTGGATAAATAGGAAACACGGTCAGGTTTCCTATTATTTGACTCAGGCGCTCACAGGTCACGGGTGTTTTAACTCGTACCTGTGTCGATTTAAATTACGCGAGGACGAGGTGTGTGCATATTGCCAGTTCCCTGAGGACAGAGCGGAGCACACCCTCTTCTCATGCAAGAAATGGGACTTGGAGAGGCGGGCCATGTTCGAAGGTGTAAACAGTCAAGTTACACCGGAGAACATGGTATCGCTGATGACCCAGTCAGAAGAGAATTGGCGGCAAGTGGAGAACTTCATAATCTCGGTTATGTCGAGGAAGGACCTCGACGGCCGCCAAAAAAGCGTAATTTAAACAGCTTTTAATTCGTTTGTTCGCTTCTTATTAATTTATTTTATTCAAAACGAGAATGTAATCCGCGGTTACTCGGTGCGTTTTGAGAGGGAAAGCATGGCTTTGCTTCAAGTAGTAGTTTTACGGTCCTAGGACGAGAAAGTAGTCCTACTTGAAGCAAAGCCATGCTTTCTCTCTCAAAACGCACCGAGTAACCGCGGATTACATTCTCGTTTTGTATAAAATGTCGTGTGTACCTCGGACGCACGCATTTTGCGTCCTCGTTGCACAATGTACTATTGTGTTTTATCTGTCCTTATACTTTTTTTAATTTGTTTTATGTTTGTATTTGTCTTTATACAGTTTTATGTTTTCAATATTATATACGCGTTTATTTTTTCTTTTTTTATATATCCGTTTACAATTTTTTCTTTTGACTTTTTACACTTAATTACACATTTGTTTTTTTTATTATTGTTGTACTGTTAATTCCGTTTTTATATTGAAATAGTTTTAAATTTTTAACTATTAACGCAGGATAACCGCAGAGAATAGCAGAAAGTCGCATTAGCGACAGAGTTGGAGCGCCGCCCTCGAAGGCTAAAGTCTTACGACAGTTCCGAGGGAGGGTAAAGGGCTCCAAAAGAAGGGTTACGGGTTTTAGTGGGTCGGGCTGGTAGTAGGTCGCCAGTTTATTAAATTTATTATAACATTTATTTATTTATATTTTTTTTAATATTTCCTTTTGTTTCATTTTACCAACCCCACATAACCTTGGAGTGCGGAATCCAAGGTATCTGTAGGCAGATTTTTCAAAAGTCCCTAAGCAAAAAAAATAATAATAATAATAATAATATTTTATTTTATTTCTATTTATTTATTTAACAAAATATTATTTATTTAACAATAATAATTAACAATAATAATTAACAATAATTATTAACAATAGTATTGATGGTAATAAATTCAAATTAATATTAATAATAATAATTAACATTTTAATTCTAATATTATTGCTTTTTAGAATTTATTTATTCGTTTATTTATTTACCTACATATTACATTATTCATTATTATCATCTTTTTAGTATTAAAATATTACTCACTCCCTTTGTTATCTTGACGTTCTGTAATCTTGCTTTTTGGTTGTTAAAATTTTCCCTCTTTATGATTGACGTTTCACGCGCATTTAATGCAACAAAATTCAAATGCTCTCGATTTGTGTTCTTATGTAAATTAAAAAAAATCTCTTCACTTTTAGCTAAAGTCGTAATTTCTTGACTTCGCTCACTTTTAAACTGATAAGCTTCCAGATAAATTACCATTCCATTTCTCAGTTCAGCGACTTTGATCATTAATTTGATATTTTTCCAAGCAAAAATGATTTTAGAAAATTACTTAAAAAATTATTAATAATTATTAGTTATCAATTATTAATAAACAATTTTTCTAATTAATCATTTTGTTATTATTTTTATATAATAATTTCCTTTTTATTTTTAATATTGTTTATTAATATTTTTCTGTTTTTTTTATTCTTCTTATAAACATGAATTAAAATAGAATTGTTTTAACCAGTTTTAACAATTTACAATAAAAATTTAACCTTATTTTTATTATTTATCTTTTTGTTATGCATGAAATTTGACAAAAGAAGAATTGACAATCGTTTAGTTTTTTCTCATTATTTTTCTTCGAAATTTGAATTTGGAATTTTTAAAAAAATGTCCATGTTTGTTATTGCAATAGAAAAATAATCGCAAAGATCTGTTAATTCATTTAACTAAGAAATTAATTAATTCATCCTTATTTAATTAATGCATTAATAAATTAATTTGTTAATTTAGTAAAAAATTTGTTATTTAACTAATTATTTAGTTTAATTAATTAATTTTTTATTTAAATAATTGTTTATTTATTTATTTAACATTGGTCCCGCAGTTCCTATGGACCATACATGGGTAACTAGATTAAAGTATATAAAATATAATATGAATTACAAAGAAAAAAAAATACATAAAACATTTTAATAGAAAAATAATGTCATATTGCCGCATTTAACAATTATTGTTTAGGCAGGTGTCGATATATACTGTAAAAAACTTTTCGGAATTTTTTCCGAAAAAATACGGACAGCACTCCAACCGGTGGAAATTTTTCCGAATAAATAAAAGGAATTATCTCCCATGAATTTCGGAAATATTTCCTACTATTTATTCGGAAATTCTGCATAAATCATTTGAATATTTATGTAAAAAATCAAAACTGTTTATATTGTATTCTGATATATTAAAATAAATGTAAATTAATATAAAAAAAATTATTATTTACATTTTTACGGAAGTATCTATTTATCAATCTACCACGATTTGAACTCTCAGCCTTATAGTGCTGTCTGTGCGTAGGGTTTTTTTTAATGGAGCCTTCAACCATTGGGAGCGCACGCCTAGACGCGCTGGACCAAGGGAGGCTATGAGAATCTGCTGCAAAGTATCAGTTTTAAGAAACATGTGGAGTAAAATCTGTTCTTTCTAACTTCTATGGAATTTCGAAAGATTCAATCTCTTTAAAACTGTTGACCAACCGATTCATAGTATTGTTAACTTTTTTCTTTTCACATTTCCGTTAAATTTATGATATATATTTAGATTTTTGAGGAATATTTAAGAACTACTTACTGCATACACAGACACAATGTTGTAGAAAAATTATTTTTCTAATTTATCAGTTTTTAAATTTAAATCAGTAAAAATAAACTAATTATTACTCTTTAAATTTAAGTAGGTAAGTGAAAATCCGCTTAGAAAATTTACGTCAAAAGTCTTTCACGCAAAAAAGTATGTGTATGTAGACTTATTTATAAATGATTTTTCATTTATTTTTAAATATATATATACATACTTATTATCTTACGTGGAATACTTTTAATGTATTCTAAGTGAATTTTCACTTTTTTAGATTTAAAGAGTAGTATATATAAATACACATATCGGATTTTTTTCTTTAGTAATTAGTGAAAAAAACTTTATCTAATAATTATAAGACGGGTTCCACGTCAAGTGACCCAGGTCCAAATTTTAAATGTTTGGGATCGGGTTAAAAGTTTGCACAAACAGTAGTCCTATTCGATACAATTAAAAATACCAAATATTATTAATTTATTTAAACAAATATAAAAACTGGAGGGGGTCAAAGTTTAAATTTTTGGTCTAACATGGAATATTTGAAAAATTTGTAGTTTCTTTAAAACAAAACGAAAATACATTTTCTATTTTGGGTTTTTCTGCTGTTTTTCAACACTTTCTAATGGTGTAAACAAATGTAGAGAAAAAAATTTTTGACCTTGAAAAATTAAATTAAAAAATAAAATTTCATTTTTTCATCAAATGGACAGTTTTTATTTTTTAAAAAAAAATTTTATCATAAAGGTGAGGTTTTTTCCTAAAAAGAATGTATAGGTCAAAACGTGGGACAAGAACTTTTAACTGGTCAAAATAAACATTTACTTCTGCAATCCACCGCCCCTGCGCGTTGTTGGGCTGTATATTGTTTATAACAATTAAAATAAATTATTTTATGCTTTATTAATTATCTGGTGGTCATATTCGATGAATTTAAATTTATTTATATCATGTGCATTAACGGAATAAGAAAATAAACGTCCTTTTTTAAAAAAGTGTATTAATTTGTTAACTTTGATTTAAAAAAAATTATAAATAATTAAAATCCCCAAAATCGGCCTCGAAGGATGTCTTAAGAATTTATTCCCCTTTAATTTAAGACAAAGAACACTTAAATCGGTTAAAAATTGTAAGCTATAGACATTTTTTAATAGGAAATTGTAAAAAAAATTCCACTGTGGGCCAGTGCAGTGCAGATGTAAATGCTTAATTTGACCAGTTAAAAGTTCTTGTCCCACGTTTTGACCTATACAATTTTTTTTAGGAAAAAACCTCACCTTTATGATAAAATTTTTTTTAAAAAAATAAAAACTGCCCATTTGATAAAAAAATGAAATTTTATTTTTTAATTTAATTTTTCAAGGTCAAACAATTTTTTTTCTCTACATTTGTTCACACTATTAGAAAGTGTTGAAAAACAGCAGCAAAACCCAAAATAGAAAACGTATTTTCGTTTTGTTTTAAAGAAACTACAAATTTTTCAAATATTCCATGTAAATTTTTGACCTGGGTCACTTGACGTGGAACCCGTCATAAATTAAATGTGAAAAAAATAATTTATTGATATACTTTATATATAGTTTTACTGTGGAAGAAATATTTTTCCTACTTTCCTCGGAAATATTTCCTATAAATATTAGAAAGAAATCCGTAAGGCCCGGAAAATTCTCCGAATATTGAGGAATAATTTCCGTTTTACTGTGGAAGAAATATTTTTCCATCTTTCCTCGGAAATATTTCCGAATATTGAGGAAAAATTTCCATTTTTCTGTAGAAAAAGTATTTCTCCTACTGATTTCGGAAATATTTCCTACTAAATATTCGGAAAACCGTAATTTCCACCTAATTTCGGAAAAATATCCTAGTTTTTTATCGGAAAAAATTCCGAAATTTTTTACAGTGTAGCTCAAAGGTATATAGAAGTAAATTTGACTAAAGAGAAAAAAAAATTAGTAATTTAATTAATTAATTTTTCAATGTATTTTTTAATTACTTTTTTAATTAATTTATTTATTACTAGAGTAACGAATTTATTTACTATACTAAAGGAACGAATTTATTTATTACTGAAGTAACTAATTTATTTATTATAAAATTAACAAATGTCTAAATTACTAAACTAACAAATGTTTGAATTAATAAATTTACATATAAATTAATTAACCAACTAATTATCAATTTGCTTATTGAAAAATTGATTAAAATAAATTATTTATTTATTTTATAAACAGAGCTAAAAAAAGTTTTGTTAACAAATTAATAAATAAATTATAAAAAGAAAAATAATAAAAAGTTTTAAACAAATTGATAAATAGTTGTAAATTAATTAGTTCACATAAACAATTCTAAAATTAAAATATACTTTTATTATCAAATATAGTCAAAAAGTTGTCAAAAAATTTATAAAAATGTTTACTCGTTAATTTCTTTTAATTTCTTTTTAAAAATTTTAACCTAAGTCAACAAAAAAAGACTAACATTTTTTTTATGAGATATAGGAATGGTTTCCGATGTATTTTTGGACGCTGAACACGATCCCGACTTCCAAAATTGCCCATCACGTCAGGATTTTGAGAAAAGTGGGGGTAAAGACCCCAAAAACGCTTTTTTGAGGATTTTCAACATTTTTTTTTCTCTTTAACCTGACGTGCTAGAGACTTCCACAAGGTCTTAAATTAAAGCTTGTAATGTGCACTACAAGACCCATATCCATAAAATAAAAAAAAATTAAGATTTTTTTTTAAAAATGGGGTTGAAGACAATAAAAAATGTGTGTTTTTGGATTGCTTTAATAGACTTCTTGCAATTGCTTGGATTCGATTGAAAATTGTTACTTAGGGTTTTTGGGGTCGCTGATTACAAATCCGATATTAGTTTTCAAACATTGAAAATGGCGAATTCGTAATCAGCGATCCCAAAAACCCTGAAGTAACAAACTTTTAAGCGAATCAAAGAAATTCTTAATTTTTATATCTGCCATCTTGGTTCCGACATTTAAAATTTTTAAAAACTAATTTTGGATTCGTAATCTACGACTCCAAAAACCCCGAGTAACAAATTTTAAGCGAATCCAAGCAATAGCATGAAGTCTATTAAAGCAATCGAAAAACCCACCTTTTTGGTGCCTTCAACCCCATTTTTTAAAAAAACTTCTAATTTTTTTTTATTTTATTGATATGGGTCTTCTAGTGCACATTACAAGCTTTAATTTAAGACCTAGTGGAAGTCTCTAGCACGTCAGGTTAAAGAGAAAAAAAATGTTGAAAATCCTCAAAAAAGCGTTTTTGGGGTCTTTACCCCCACTTTTCTCAAAATCCTGACGTGATGGGCAATTTTGGAAGTCGGGATCGTGTTCAGCGTCCAAAAATACATCGGAAACCATTCCGATATCTCATAAAAAAAAAGTTAGTCTTTTTTTGTTGACCTATGTTATTTAACAATTTTTCCTACTCTCTAAATCTGAATTAGTAGTTTTCTACTAATGAAATAGTGCGGATTCGTTTACCAATTTAATTAGTATCTGTTTTTACTAACTTTTAGTAGTTTTTTACTAATTATTAGTAGAAAATTTACTAATTTGAAATAGTAAAAAATACGTTCTACTAATTGAATAAGTAATTTTCTACTAGCAATTAGTAAAAAACTACTAAAAATTAGTAAAAAATGTTACTAATTTAAATTGGTAAACGAATCCGCACTATTTCAGGTTTAGAGAGTACAAATATATCTTTTCTTATAAAATATAATTGCCTCGATGATAATAATATTTACAAATAAAATATTTTAATGTTTAAGAAACATTTACGTTAAATAAATATATTGAGTAATATACAAACGCATTGTTAATAAAAAAAATTTACCCTAATTGATAACAGTATTTAATCTTAATCGACATTAGAAAAATTCTATTTACAATTTTTACAGTAGGAAAAAAATTATTTTCATATTTATATGAAACAATAATATTATTCTATATAAATATTTCTAATAATAGTAGAAAATTTTCGATTTAATAAAATATTTATAAACTAAAAATTGTTCACAAATAGTTAATAAAAAAAACAAGTTGTTCGAAAATAATTGTATTGATAAAATGAGGAAACAAAAATTTACATAGTTTGTTAATGATAATAACAGAAATATAAAAACTTTCGTGATAAGTTAGAAGTTTAAAAACAACTATTTACATTTCCAATATTTACAAAATCAGTTTTAAAAATAAAATGTATAATTTTATTAATTTACTTGACTAATTTGGTAATTGTAATTTGTAATTAATTATAATTATTTTCAAAGAATTACAAATTATTCATAAAATATTGTAATTTTTTTTAAATAATTTTCAAATAATTACGAATTACCCAGTGGGCAAAAAACCATCATTGTTTTAAAAACGTTCCAAAAACGTTTTTAGAATGTTTCATGTCTGCTAAATAACGTCCCAAAAACGTTATATGGTTCTAAAACGTTTTAAAAGCAATGGAACGTTTTTGGAACATTATTTTGCAGACATGAAACGTTCTAAAAACGTTTTTGGAACGTTTTTAAAACAATGATGGTTTTTTGCCCACTGGGTATTTATTAATAATTGTAAATTACTTAAAAATAGTTTATAATTGATTATTTTATTAAATATAATTTATAATCAATTGTAATTATTTACAAAAAATTGCAACATATTAACAAATATTATAAATTATTTATTTATTTTAAATTTATGAATGGTTTGTAACTTATTATTAATCTGTTAATTACAATTTATAACTATTTATAATTATTTTTAAAGATGAATTACAAATTATTTATAAATATTATAATTTATTTTTAGACAATTTATAAATAATTATGATTTATTTATAAATAGTTGTAAATATTTGTCATTATAAAGAATTATAAATTTTTTCATAAAGTTACAAATTCTTTATACACTTTTCGACATAATTTATAAAATCAGCGACCTGACTAGGGGAGAGTAGGCTACATTGAACCAGCGTCAACAGTGAACCACTTCAATTTTCTGAGAAATGACTGAGTGAAATTTTTTCATATTTAATATATAAGTTAGTTTTACTGAAACAAACTATGTCCAAAAATTTCGGGCACGTAGGTTTATTATTTACAAAGAAAAACTAAAAAAACTGTTTTTCACGTACAAAACAAAAAATTTGGTGGAATTATAATGACGTTTTTTTATTGAAATAGGAAGTTTTAAAAATTAGTAAACTTGCGATTTATTTCGCTTAGGGTGTCAACTTCAATATTCCGATGTGATAAAGAACTTTAAATCTTACACAAATTTATTATAAACAATTTTTGTTGTGAATGTCATGTGAATACAGTGAGTGCGGCATCATTGAACCACCCGAAAAAGCAAAGAATTTTCAATTTTAAGAGTTGTAAAATTGTCTGCTCTACTAATTAGTAAGAAAAATACTGGAAGACATGCTTTCATCACAATTGTGAACGAGATAAACTCAAACTGTCACTTTACCTACCTAACCTGACATTAAAATACATTAATCTCCTATATTAACAAGTAATAACAATTAAATAACAATTTTCTATTTTTTTGAGTGGAAAATAAGATTTTTTACAATGTGTAAGTGGAAATATTATTTTTGAAGTAAATTGTAGTGTTTTATTAGAGGTGGTTCAATGTAGACACACATCCTTCAAAATAAGAAAAGTGTGACTTGTTAGAAAAAAATTTAATTTAATTATTTAATCATAATAATTTGTGTTTGTAACGTGTGTATTAACTAAAGGAGTACTTCAGCTTAATTTTGATACAAAAACCTGATCGAAATTAGTAAAATTTTATTAGTTCTTGGACTTTATAAAATACCCGGTTCAATGTAGCCTACCCTCCCCTAATTAAAAAATTAATAATTATCTAATAAATTAACAATCCAGGTAATAATAAATATTAAACTAGAAGTAATATAACAAATGTAATAGTGAATGGTAAAAAACACACACTCACACACATGCAATGAATGATTCATTAATTCGCATTTTACGAAAAGTCAAGATAAAAGAAAAATTAAGAAATTGTATGGAATAAAAAGATTACAATACTTTGTATTGAACCAATAAAGTGTAAACAATTATCCAAATAATTAGTGCGATAATAACGCTAATGAGAAAAATTGTTTTTAAATAATGCCAAGGATTCTCTGGTTGTTGATTATTTCTAATTCTCGATATTTTGCATGTTCCATTTCGACATTGATGATCTTCGGAATGATTTTGATTCGTTGCTGTGACACCAATTGAGGACGTGACAATTTTCATTTCCGATAATTCCGTTTCACCTGAAGGATTTGTCTCCATTTTTCCTTGGTCGCACCTCAAAGGACGATCCATCTGGTGAGTAAATTAAAATTAATTATAAAAAATTAAAATTGTTTTCGGAAATATTTAATTTTTACTATGACTAATAATTACTATTTCGTTAATTACTATTATGTAATTGATTAATGCTATTTCGTTATAATTACAATTTTGTAATTTATTAATATTATTTCGTTAATTACTATTTTTTAATTAATTAATAATATTTCGTTCATTACTACTTTTTAATGAATTAATTAATACTATTTAATCAATTAGTGCTTCTTAAATAACAACTACTATTCGTTTAATTAACAATGATTAATTAATTTATAGAATTTAACTAATTATTACTTAATTTATTAATTACTACTGAATTTATTAAAATTTACGCCAATTAATTCATTGCAATCCATTGAATATTATTTAATTAATTACTACTAAAAAAATTACAAAATTAATTCAATAAGCTGCTCAATAAATTACTAATTGACTAATTAATTATTTCTCCGTTAATTACTATTTAATTAATTATTGCTTTTAATTAACTACTACTATTTGATTAATTTAATATAATTTAAGTAATTAGGGTAGGGTGGGGCATTACTATTCGCGGGGCGAAACTATTCCATAGTCCTGCACGGAGAGAAAAAACAAAGCTTTTCCCCATGAAAAAATATGCATTTAACGCGTGAAAATTATCACAGTACAAATGCAGGACGCTCACGGTTTTGCCCGGTGAGATTCTTGCAACGAGCTTAGGCCAATAAGGGCTAAGGCGTGGCCTAACCGCTAAACGCAAGAAATTCATCGAGAAATCCGGTGAAACTGCTACCTGAACCCTAGTAGAAATTTGTCATGGAGCCACTCGATTGCTCAAGTTACTGGACAGTTTTTGTCACGGACGCTGATTCTATGCGGACTGGTAAATAACTGTAAAGTTACTGACCAACGCTCTTCGTCAAAGATTCAAGTTGAATTTGATATTGGCTAGACATAACTTCTGTCCATACTCTGTCCAACGAGAGAATACCCTCGATCGCGCAGTTTTTTTGCTTTTGGGGCGTTGAAAAACTTGAAAATGGCATCTCACTATTTTTTTCGCTAGAAAATAGCCAATGACAATCTACTCAATCTCAGACTTTCCCGTTCGAACTCGGGCCCACACGACCCAAAGGGTAATTTATAACCTTCATACCTGAATGGGACTTTCAAATGGTAATGATTTTATATAAAGTACAAAATTTATCAATTTTGATCTTACAAAATTTTCAATGTTATTCTTAAAATCCTCATTTTTTTCTGATTCCAATAGTATGTTGTTTGTCTCTGATATTTTAAAATTAAATTGCGGTCCTGTGATAAAATGTCAAAAAATACTAACTTTACTGTAAAAAGAAGTGCATGACTTTACTTTCATTTATATCAAAATTACATATCCTTAAAATCGTGAGAATTTGCAGATTCCGAATATATTATTCAAAATAAAATATCTATAATATTAACAAATTTCTAATTTTTTATTACACTGTAACGTGCTGTTCATTAGAAGTTCCATAAACTTAGACCTGCGAACGCTCGAGCTGAAAGGGGACCGTGGGAGACAATTTAAACCATATGTTCTAGCCAAGGTTTTTTTTCAAAAAAGGCGGCCCTAGTTTGAAAGCAACGCCAACTCTATCACTTTTATGATATCTTGCGCGAAATTGACGAAAACTCGTCATTTTACGAGGTTATTTTCTCGTTGGACAGAGTATAGTTTTTTTAATGTTACTTTAAAGTACTCCTAGAAATTATAGTTCTAAGTTTGTCGTGTCGATGACACTGCAATAATGTCTAATAACTAAACAGCTCGACTGATTATTTGCTGGAGATAAATTTGTTCTTATTCTTTCCAATATTTTAAAACTTTTCATTTTAATTTGTTATTAATTAAAAATTTAATTAAAAATAAAAAATATTAATAATTATTAATAAAACTAGTTAACAATATTAATTAATAAAATTAATTAGTAATATTAATAATTAATAAAATAAATTAACAATATTTATTAATAAATATTTACAATCATTTATAATAAATATAAAAATAATAAAATTAGTTAAAAATTAATTTTTTTAAATTCCATTTTAGTTTAATTATTATTTTCTATTAATTAAAAATTTAATAAATTTATTATTATTAATTAATAATCAATTAATCATATTAAATAATAACATTAATTAATAAATATTTTTTTTTTTGCTTAGGGACTTTTGGGAAATCTGCCTACAGATACCTTGGATTCCGCACTCCAAGGTTATGTGGGGTTGGTAAAATAAAACAAAAGGAAATATTAAAAAAAAGATAAATAAATAAATGTTATAATAAATTTAATAAACTGGCGACCTACTACCAGCCCGACCCACTAAAACCCGTAACCCTTCTTCTAGAGCTCTTTACCCTCCCTCGGAACTGTCGTAAGACTTTAGCCTTCGAGGGTGGCGCTCCAACTCTGTTGCTAATGCGACCTTCTTCTTCTCTCTGCGGTTTTCCTGCGTCAGTAGTTAAAAAAAATGATTAAAACTACTTCATAGTCTAAGCGGAATTTACAGCACAACAATAATTTAAAAAACAAAACAAAATTTTTTAAGAAGTTTAAAAAGTCAAAAGATAAAATCGCAAACGGATATAAAAAAGAAAAGAAAAAAAAAGTAAACACGTATATAATGTTGAAAAGACAAAACTGTACAAAGATGAATAAAAAACACAAAACAATTAAAAAATGTATAAGGACAAAAAAATCACAAAATAAATTAATCAAAAACAAACAAACAAATTAAAAGCTGTTTAAATTACGCTTTTTGGCGGCCGTCGAGATCCTTCCTCGACATAACCGAGATTACGAAGTTCTCGACTTGCCGCCAATTCTCTTCTGACTGGGTCATCAGCGATACCATGTTCTCCGGTGTAACTTGACTGTTTACACCTTCGAACATGGCCCGCCTCTCCAAGTCCCATTTCTTGCATGAGAAGAGGGTGTGCTCCGCGTTGTCCTCAGGGAACTGGCAATATGCACACACCTCGTCCTCGCGTAATTTAAAGCGACACAGGTACGAGTTAAACGAATTAAACACCATCTTTCTTGCCATCTTTCTATGAGCCTGTGCCTCGCTTCTTTGCGGATCAGGCCCTTGCTTGGTCTTATTTCCTCATCCAAGGAACTTCTTTCATTAGAAAATAGAAACATTTCTTCCCTTTCCCTCGCCAAAAGATCTGCTGGCGGGACACTTGCAAGGACCTGCACAGCACTCGTAGATACCGTCTTATATGCGGAGATGATACGCGTTGTTATTGATCTCTGCGCCGACAGTATCTTTTCACAGATGGTCACACATCTTTTACCTCTCAGGGATGGGGCCCACGCTGGTGCTGCATAGAGCATTTTAGCGTGGGCGACACTCGCCACCAGTCTTCTTCTTTGTTCACGGGGTCCGCCAACATTTGGAATTAGCCGTGAAAGATTAGCCGCACACTCGATCGCCTTATTTGATGCCGTAGCCATGTGGTGATGAAAGTTTAACCTTCCATCTAACTCCACGCCAAGATATTTAATTTGCTTACTCCACTTGACCTCGAATCCGTCTATCACGATTCGTGGGAGATCATAACCACGTCTGTCTGTGACCAGCAGTGCCTCGGTCTTTTCCAGGGCCATTTCAAGACCTCTGGTATCCAGCCAGCTTTTTGCTAGTCGCAGACATTCGTTCACCAATGTCCCAAGAGCCTCCTCACTTTCGGCAGTGCACACGAACAACGCGTCGTCCGGAAAGCCGATGATCACCGCACCTTCGGGTAGATCCATTCGCAGAAAATCATCGAGCCTTGAGGAGCCCCACGCTGCATCTCTTCCCTAAGAGTGCAGGTGTCTCTCTCATATATAACCCACCTGTCGCTAAGATAATTATCCATTATCCGCAACAAGTAGGGCGGCATATTTCATCGACTCGATGAGATCTTTCCATCTTGCGGAATTAAACGCGTTGCGTATGTCAATTGCTACAAACGCGCAGAAGCTCTTCTTTTTTCCAGGTCCCAATTTGTTTTTCCTGCTTTGGCTATGTCCACAACTGCCTGGATGGCATCAACTGTGGACTTGCCTTTACGGAAACCAAATTGGTGATCCGATAGACTATTCTCTCCGGTCAAGTGGCTTTGCATTCTCTGCAGAACCATATCCTCTAGAAGTTTACCCATCGTATCCAACAGGCATATAGGCCTGTACGATGAAACCTTATCTAGAGGTTTTTCACCTTTCCTTAGGAGGAATAACCTCTGTCGCTTCCAGTCGCGGAAGAACTCTCCTCTCTCAAGACAAAGATTGAAGCATCGAAGCAGAATCTGGGGTGAAGTGTCGATTACCAACTTTTGGATCTCGTTACTTATCCCATCGATTCCAGGCGCCTTGCCTGTTTTCAATCTTTTGCCTGCTTTTTGTTGTTCACTAAGTGTGAAGAGTTCTTTTTCTTCGACTTTGCAAAAACTCCAGTCTCTTCTAAGGTATGGCTCTGCAGGAGGAAACAAAGAATTTAATATTTTTCTGACCCAATCGGGATTGTCCAGGCCGGGGGTCTTTTGCTTCGTCGCTAATTTCTTAGTAACGTATTTAAAAGCCAGACCCGGCGAGATACGGCATCGCGACTTGCGGATCTCTTTCTTGAGGTTCTTTTTCGCCTCCTTGAAAGCCTCTTTCAGCAAGGGATCTCCCTTAGATCGGGTATATGTCCTTCTTGCTTTGAGGCATTCCTTCCTCAAGAAGGCTAGCTCCTCTGACCACCAGTGCAAGGATTTTCTTATGGGAATGGCGCCTTTTCGTGGCATTGACGCATTGCAAGCGGTGACTATCATGTTTCTCACCGCTCGCACCTCCCTATCCAGACTGCTCGGCCTCTTCACCCAGCCCAAGTCCTCAATTAAAAGGGTTTCTCTTAGGGACCGGCCGAACTTTTCCTTGTCGAGTCTCTTCATATTCCACGAGGAGGTTTTGCGACTA